TCATCAAATTAAATTAATAAAAAAATATACATATTCCATAAAATATCAAAATTTTGTTATAAAAAAAATTAAATTATTAAATTTTTTATTTTGGTTAATATATAAGCATCTATTTTTTTAAGATGGGAAATTTAAATCTTCATATTCCAACAATAGTGTGCTAAAAGAAATTAATAACAAAGATATAAAATATATTAAAAGATTTGAAATTTTTTTTATCACATGTTTGTTTTTAGGGGAAAGTTGTCTATAGTAAGTTTTTGTTTGAAAAATGCATTACTCATTTAAGATTATTTATAAAGACCTATTTAGTAATTCTTGTTTCTCGTTTCTCCTATCTAGTATTTTAGAAACATAAGTATTTGATAACTATTCATGTTTCTTGTTTCTCATTTTTTAAGAAATGTTTCCAAAATTGAAATAACAAAATTAAATTTTTTGTTTCTGGTTTTCATTTTTAGTTTCTTCCAAAATATAAATAAATTTATTATTTTATCATTTTTCAGGTTATAAAACGAATAATGAATATTAAAGAAAATATAAGACAAACTATTTGAATATTTAATTTTAAAAAATATAAAATATATTTTTTTAATTAGAATTTTAGATAACAAGAAATAATAAATAATCACCAAACATGTTGATTTTTTTTAATAAAAAAGAAAGAACAAGTTCCATTTCTATTTATTAAAAAAGAGGAAATAATAATTAAATAATAATAAAAATATTACCAAACCAACTAGAAAAGAATACATATTTCAAATGAAAAAAAAGTTGTTAAAAACAGAAAATTCAAAGTTAATTTAAATGGAATTGTTTTAACCTACAGATACAAATGTGGGGAACACTAAATTATACTCAACTTGGTAAGAATGAAATCTTTATCAAATGACAAATGAGTTCGTGATTGCAAACAAGGTCTCACATTGGTTGGAGCAGAGAATGATCATAGAACAATTATCTCCATTAGTATGTATATATATATATATACCTACAGAATCTTAAAATTCAACACAATTTAATGAAATAATAAAAGATAGAATTGGTTTCCTTTTCAAAGATGGCAACTCATCTTATGAGTTGTGTACAGATGGAAGTCAAAGGGGAAGAAAATTATAGAATTCATTGGGTTTTATCAGACACAATTTTCTTCCCCCACCAAAAGAAGCAAAGTGGGGTCAAAAATGTCAAAATATTAATTATTTTTTTTGTCCATATCATTATTCATGATTATGAAGGGTTAGAAATTTTGGTTAAGCTACCATTGATTTTACAATTTGAAAAAATAGTGTATTTGGTTATGCAAAGTCTACGGCATCATCATCAATATGCAATTATATATTACAAAAATTTCCCCTCCCTATCATCACATTATCATAAATAGTCTTTGAAAAATAAATATTTGTGTATTTTTTTCTCTCTTTGAGTATTTAAATTTGAGACAAAAAAAAATTGAAAACTCGTGAATTATGACATAATAAATCAACATTATGACCGATTAAAAATCATAGAAAAATTTAACATGATATCTTTTCAATTTATTTTTATTACATTATAAAATAATGAAAATCTTTCAACCTAACCTAAAGATTAAACACCTAATATCTAATTGTTGGAGGGGTAAAAAATTTTCCATGAAGACCTTTCTAGTTTCTATTTATTTATTTATTCGCAAAATAATATTATCTCTTTTCCATGTATATTTATTTAGTCCCTTTTTTTTTCTTTCTTTATTGCAAATGCACTCACTCATAATTTAACACAAGCATCAATAAGATAAGCAGAATATGTTTTACAAATTATTATTGCACATGGCTGTGAATATGATTGTTTCTAGACTATAAAATATACTTGCTTGCAGTAATGTTAAACTGCAAGAGTAAAAATTTCATTTGTTTTTAACTAATTAAGATTTTCTCATATCTCTTTTTAACTTTTTCAAACTTTAGTACAACAAATATGAGATGAAATTGGACCTCTTGAGTGGGTACTATGTGTCTATTTTAAAGTTTAAAGAAAAATTAATTACATCTCTAAGATTATACTTCTATTTAGTTTATATCTATTTGGCCAATTACTTTTCATAATCCAATGCTAATTCAAGTTAAAGTTTATCCCTAATCTACATGTCTGGTAATTAGCATTTCATTAATAGTGTTTTTTTTACACAATAAATTGGGGTCATGGGAGGTTGAACCTCCGACCTCAAAAGATGGAGTACATGTTAATTATCGCTGAACTATGTTCATGTTGGTATTTCATTGATAGCATGATAATAAATATATAGAAATATGACTAACATGAGCATAGTGATGAAGGAATATACTCCTCACGGTAAAGTCGCAGGTTTAAATACCCAATATATATATTTCACACCCTAATAATTGTTGCACTAAAAAATCAACATTTATTGCACTAAAAAATTTACAAGCTAACTTAAAAGAAAAGAAGGTGATAGTAAAAAAATATCAATTCGGACCTAGTTGAGTAGATAAGGAACGATTTAATCTTGGAGCCCACATTGTAGTACAAAAAGAATAAGTAAATCTAGAATTTAACTTCATAATAATAACAATGAAGAAGGGTATTGGCATGGTGGGGGCATATCCACATTAAGTTTGGTGAGAAAAGTAGAAGAAAGGACAATGGTTGTGGTTGTGGTTTTATGCCAAGGAAGGTGTACTTTTGGGGAGGGTGATGGGTCAACTTCCTTTGGTAAAATGATATGTAATTTAGGGGAAGAAAATATTTTCAGACATAGGGATTTTGGTGAAAAGATTGAATAAATGTTAAAAAAGTATTATCCACTCTTTTAATTTTTTTTTAATTAGAGATAAAAATTCGAAAATCCATTAATTCGTTTAGTTATGTTTATGTTGGCTTCTCTTTTAGTTGAATTTTTATCTTTAAATATTTTGTTGTTATTAATTAGATACCTATACTTTTATGATTGAGATATTTTAACTTGGATGTTTTTCAAATTTTGGGTGTTTTGTTGAGTGATTTTTCAGTTAGGTATTAGGAACTGTTTTAAAATCTTATTCCGTCAATAAAATTAAAAGCCATTAACTAATTAAGAAAGTTATTTTTATGGCTCTAAATCATATTTATTTTAGGCATATCCCTTTTTATTATTGATTGTAACATAATGTTGGGATCCTAATATATATATTTAAGGAGTCTTTATGTCGCGTTACAAAGGGTCTCGTTTAAAAAAAAAAAATACGTCCAAAAATTATTGAGCAACAATCGAACTAGTGGATTGAATTCTATCAGACCTAATTTTCCATTAGTGGTAGAGTGGTCGGAACAAGGTTCAAATCTATCAGTTGAGATACCTCAAATAAACTTGGGATTTGTGATCCCAGGTATATATATATATATATCAAGTAATGATGTTTGTTTATTATTATTATTATTTTTTTTAGTTTCTTTTATCAGATATAAATATTTTAACTCGCTGAGTTATGATCAAGTTGGCTGATGTTTATTTATTTATTTATTTAAGTTTAATTAAGTAGGGATAAATAACCGACCTTAAAAATAATATGTATCTTGTCTTTTGTCAAAGTAAGTTACGAATAGACAAATAATGATATTTATTGATGAAGATTTTTTTAAACTAAAATTAAAAATTCATAAGGGTAATTGAAATTCTTTTTTGTGCCAACTGCCAAATTCATAAGCTAACGTAATATATTAAATGTATATTTCACAAGAAAAAAGTAGAGGAAAAAAACAAAACAAAAGGCGCCATGAAGCAGGCCGACGATAAGGGCAATGGATCCATTTCTAGTCACAGCAATTGGATCTTGTAAATTGTTGCTGTCCAGTTTGTCCTTTTTCAGACTAATTGCATCTTTCTTCTGTTAATCCTGTGAATTCTCTCTCTCCCGTGGGAATTTTTTGAAGTTCCCCTGATTCCAATTTTTATTTCTTAATCTGCGGCGATTTGTTCTCTTAGAATCTGCTGGATTTCTCTTCTGTTGAAAATGAATGATCATTCTTTAACTGAAAATTGCAGTTTCTTTATTCTTCTGTTCGCCATCGTATTGTTTGAATGATTTATGCAGATTTTGAACTTCAAAGTATAATAATCCACCAATCAGTATGATCTTCAATTCAACGCAACTTGAACCAATTTCCAATTTGGATTTGGTGAACCCATTGGAAAATTTAACTTAATTTGACTATATTACATGTTTTTCAACTCTGTACTGCTCCATTTCCACTCAGTTGATGTTAAACTAATGCTTCCTTTGACATTCTTCTCACCAGATCACATGTCTTAGTTCCAGAATACAGACAAATCCACCTTGGCTTCAGGTTTATTTTTTAATAAGTCATTATAATAAGCCCTGTTGCTGGTTTTTACTGTTTGGCTTTGACCTGAAATTAAAGACTTTGTTCTTTCTATGGCACTTGACTATGGTGGCATGGCCTTGTGAATTCAAAGATTCATATGTCCAGGTGACAGTTCTAGATGGTGTTGGTAAAAGTTCTGTAAATGTTAGGATGAGATAGGCTAATTCAGTCAGCAATTTGATGCACTATTTTTTCTGTCTTTCTTTCGATATCTTGGGTTTGAAGTTGAGAGTGAAGTCTAATACTACAATATTGTTGTAGACTCTGAATTTGCTGATGCTTAATCCTTCTGAGGTGGGTTTGAAGTGTTTTGAACAAATTATTGCTTGGATGATTCTGAAGTGCCTCACTATTATGCCTAACTATTGAAGTTACTCTAATGCATGATTTCAGACAAATTTGTTTATGGTCTTTGGAAAATGTTTTTCTCGAGGCAAAGTTACTGGCTGAATAGAAACTTAGAATAAACACGTACTTTCCAGGGTGATGCAACATTGTGGTAAAATAGGTTGGTTGTTTATTTAACCATTTCTAGAAGACAAATTTTTCAAGTTTTTGTCTGGATTTTGGTCTTCCATTTTGGGATCTCCTGATGATATCGGTTTAACATTGTTGTTTTTGGGTGAACCAAACTATTGACTCCAAATTGTACTCTGATTCTAGCATCATGCTTTCAAATTAAATATACAGCGTTTCATGAATTCTTGCTTTCAAATTAAATATACAGCGTTTCATGAATTCTTACTTCTATGATATAGTAGTTGCATTGTGATTGACCTTGTATTTTCCCTTCGTTATAATCCGAGTAAGCAAGTCGGGCACGGCCAAAGCTAGTACACCAGAATGTGGAGTTTCAACTCTGGATATCAAGCTACACTGCAAAATGGTAAGCGACAGATACAATGGAGGTATTCTGTCAAATGTCAATGCATACAAAATGAGGTGAATAATTGTGTTTATTCTTATTGCTAGGATTGGAGAACTCACATGTATCAAGGTGTGTAATTTGAGTAAGATGCAAAAGGAGCAAGGCTTGGATGAAGAAGCAGTCCTTTTATTGGCAAGTTATGTACTCTTTTGCCTCGAATCGAAGAACACCCTTCGACCCAAACCCATTCCCGTTTGTTTATCTCTTTTATTTCTCTCCAAATTACCATTCCACTTCCCAGCTCTTTATATAAACACATAACTTCATTATTGCCTACACATTTGGTGTTAATCCAGCTTCTATTGCACCCTCCTAGAAGTTTTATCCCCAAGTCATTCGGCACCGTTTCAACCAACACCCACATATCTCCATCTCCGAGCTCCCAAACACAGGCGTCTTCACCGCATATGCCACCTACTAATGCTAGCCTTCCATTTCGGCATGTGAGTGAAGCAAATTCAAGGCGGTCCGCCATCGGTACCTGCAACTCCCTGCAAATGTTTGAGTCAATCTCAAAGCCCATCACGCTGAATGCCCTTGCAGAGGTTATCCAATACAGAACTCCATTAGAGTAGACACTCTCATTCTGAGTCCAAACTGTTAACCTCACTGAAAATTCCACCGGCATGGATCCTACAATTCTCCACGAGTTATTTCTTGAGTCATACATTTCCAACTTTGATTCATACATGGTGCCGCCCTTTGGTGCCTCCGACATCCCGCCTGCTACATAGATCATGAAGTCTGGAAATTGAGAATTCTGGCCTGTGTTTTGTATCACAACTCCCACAGCAGGATTAGTCCTTGCAATATTTGGCTTTGGGAGATACTGAAATTGGCAAGTGAATGGGTTGCATATGACTAATTGAAGAACAACAGAACTTATGGATCTTAAAAGCAGAAGACTACCAACTGGGGAAATCGACTTAACTAACTCAGGAAGGAACTCCAGGGACAGCCTATGCCAATTGTCAAGAAGTGGATTGTGAGCAAAACATAGCTTGTGGGCACGCAAGGGCAAGGCAATGAACCATGAAGGATGGCATGGTGATGAGATCGGTTCGGTGCACGAGGGGCGAGTATCTACGCACTCGTGCCAATGCTTGCAGGCTGATCGAGCTCGCGCCAAAGAGTCGGGAGAGAGGAAGGAGAAGATGTTGGCAAGAAGATCAAGAGGAAGGCCACTCCACATGGTTGATGGAAAGAGTGAAAGTTTTTGCATCAAAAAGATGATCAAATTGTATATATGCAACCACACATGATTCAAGTGCAATCATTCAATATGAATTATTTGAAATGATATATATGCATTGGAATGTGTGGCCACATGAACCATGAACTGTATGGTCTGTCCCACATGGGAATCTCATTTATTTACTTCTTTATTTTCTGAATCAAGTATTTGGTTGCTTTTTGATCAATAAAATCAGAAAACTTTGGTCCCTGGCAGAGCCCAAAGGGCAAGTGGATGTCTTTGAAAAGAACATCTTCAAATATCTCTTCTATCATCTGCTTCAAAGCCAGTCCCACCTCATACCTTTTGAGTAGTTAATTCTGTCGTTAGGGACCGGGTTTTGCTTCTCATTTCCCTTCTATGCCAAGTTTATTCATGCTAACTAATCTTTACTAGTTGGACTATCCTCGTGGAATCCAAAAGTTATATCTGTCATCGGATGAGGATGAAATTAGCATGTAATTACGGCAAGTTTAGATGTTGATGTTGTCATTATCTTGATTATCTTATCTTTTCTTGTGAATATAACTTTCTAATTACCATGTTACGTCAATGAATGAGGTGTGGTTGGCTGAATTAAATTTAGATAATTCAACTCCTTGGTACTACTATTGTTTATTATAATTATTATTCTATAGGGCCACAATACATTAAGTCTTGTTTGACTGAATTGTTTTTATTTTTTTTTTATTATCATCCTTTTGTGTTCTTATCTCCTAATGAAAGAAAAATATATTATATATATTAATTTATGAATTTGCATAGGATTCGTTTGCATGTTGGTCATAAAAAGATTTGTCCATATGTCATAGTAGTGGTTTGTAAATTTTCCTAAAATTCAAAAACTTTTTCTCTTCTTGAAATTTGAAAATGCACAGAACAGAATTTGGCTTATTATGCATTTTTTTTCTTTTTTTTGTCTTTGAGCTGCAATTGCCAGAGGGCTGCGGCTGGATGGGAGCCGTTCTACTGGGTAGCTACCCTCTCCCCTCGCATGCTTTGCCTCTCTCATGGTGTTAGAGATTTTAAAAGTTTTTGAAGTAAATATATACTTTTTAGTAACAGTTTGGTCCCATTTCATAACGTTTAAAACAGATCTTTGACTACTCATTAGATATCTCCCATTTATTACCATTATGTTTTTTACAACTAGAAGAGAGTAATGTATGAAGGGATAATTAGAAGAGAGTAATGCATGGAGAGAGAGAAGAAAGATTTTTCTTTAAAACAATAAGTCGGTCGCAGTCACGTTTTTCTATTGGAACAATGAATAGTTTTTTTTTTTTTTCTTTTATACTTTTTTGGTGGAGATCGAACTCACAATTTCTTGATTAGAGATATATGTCATTTATCGTTGAACTCGCTTTGGTGGGACAATGAATAGTTAAGTATTATTTAATATTTTTTAATATTCAAGAGTAGGTTTGTGATAGACGTTTTAAGCTTGAGTTTGAGTTTAATATGCTAGGGTTTTAATTTGAGTTTAATTAAGAAGCCTAGATCTAAGAAAACTGTCTTTTTTGAAGTGCATATTTAAAAAAAAATGAATTGAAGAGGCTTGAATAGTGAGCTATTGTTCAAATCTATTGATTCTCCCATTAAACTTGAGTTTAACAACTCTTCCATGAGTTGGGTATTGGAATTCAAATTCATCCAACTGCGCTTGAAGGATTTAATTTATCTTTATTTATATTATTATTGTTGTTAGTTTAATTTTAAGTTCTATATTAGTATGGTTGAGGATCCATCCTCCAACTACGACTTTTGGAACAGTAACAAGTGTGTTCATGAACTATACTTGGATTGACCTAACAAATTTATCTTTAATTATTAACTTTAAAAATCTTATCATTTCAAACCCTAAGGGCCGGTCTGAGACGGTTCAAAATGGTACTCCTAGATAATTTTTGTTAACTACAATAATAAAAAACGGTTAAAATACTTATTTTGGTCTCCTACTTTAAGCTTTGGTTCATTTTTGTTAGGTACTTTTAACTTTAGTTAGTTGCGATCCCTATATTTTACATCGTTTTGGTACATGTACTTTTAAAAAGTTACTATTTTGGTCCCTATAACCAAAATTTAAACATAAATTCGACACATAACAGAAAATCTTTAATAAGAGTCATAATTACATTTTAAAAAAATATATTGAGTATAGTTTTGTGTTAAAACTGCAATAGAAAAATTAAAAATAAAATTAAAGGACAAATATGGTCACTTTTTAAAAGTGCATAGACAAAAAATGAATGTTTTGAGAGTAGATGAACTAAAATGTTGAACCAAAGTTAAAATTACAGAGACTAAAATGAACATTTTGAAAGTACAATGATAAAAATTAACCAGAAATTAAAATATCGAGACCAAAAATATTATTTTAACCTAAAACAATTAATTTTACTGTTGTTACCCTTGCAACCTACGTACCGAAGCAATTGCAAGTGTATGTAACGAAGTTGGTGCAAGTGATAAAAAGATTGTCTCCGCGATGATTGAAGTAACAAAATCGCTCCAAGCAACTTAAGAAAAAGGTAAGTAAAGTAAACTCAATTAACATAAACGGAACAACAACAAAATTTTAAGTATGACACCAAAACCAAGAGGTAAACAGACATGATATTCTTTCGAATTATCCAAATTTCCTTTTCCACAACTTCTCTTGTTTCACGAAATAATAAACTCAGTTTTTAGGCAATACTAGATAAATCTTATTCTTAAGCATTTTTACGCTCTATATGAAAATATAGATCTAGCACCAAGTAAAGTTAAACATACACCTCTACGTCATGTTTCCAAACAATAAAAGCACCAACGTTTCAAGTATGTTTGAAAACGCATCCATGAACATTAAGCAATAAAATCAAACTTTACTCGACAGTAGAAACTTGATCAATGTTCAAGGCTCAAACAATGAAGTTCACATGAAAAAGTTATCGACCTCCCGTGAATGGATTAAGCTCATATCAATTACAATGAAGTTTGAAAAATAAGAAATAATACAATCCATGCTAGAAAAAACAAATGAAAACAAAATGGATCATTGACACACGGGGTAAACAACACCTGTAACTCACTCTGTGCACTTCCATTTTATATATAATATGTAGCAAAAATTTTATTTGTTCAAAGGACAAAATTTCCGTGATCATTAAAAATAGGTAATGATCACAGAAATCTGCTGCGAGTTTGAATCAGTGTTTTGTTTGTCAGAGTTGACCAATCAAATTTTCACTACCTATTATATATAAAATGGGAGTGTATTTAGTGAGCTTTTATAGGAATGAAATCAATAAATAAATAATGCAACAGAGGTGTTGTTTACCATTGTGTACTTCTAGGTATGATACCCATTCTTCCTTGCATAAGCTATCTTCTTAGAGTATATTCTCCTTCTTGTCGTGGTTTTCTCTCTCAAATTTCCCTTAGTATTTATATCACTCCCACCCCTTGAAATTAAGACAACGCAGACTTAGGTTATATGAACATAAGTAAAAATCCCGCATGAAATGAGTTACTTCTATCATTGCTTTTGACACTCCAACATCGTTAAACATCATCCTTAGAGAAACCGTTCAATATATCCTCAATACTCCAACAAAGCCTGCACCTAGCACAAAATTCCAATGATGAAGGTAATTTTTACAATTTTCTGAAATAAAGCTCAAGGGTGGTTGAATGTGAAAATATCATAATTTAAGCTCTACCTCCTAGAGAAATAGGGCTAAGATTTTCATTAAAACTCAACTCTACACTAAAATAAACCTAAAATAACTCGGTGCTAAGCTATTAGAGGGCATTAGTTTCATCATTTATTCATGTTAAAGATTTAATTTTGGTCCTATTGACTTACTAAATTTTTAAATCTATTTTTTCAAGTTAAAGTGCAATATCATTCTTAATTGATTAGAAGTTTAGAAACTATCATTCATGTACTAATTTTTTTTTATTATTTAAAAGAATGGTGATGTAAAAGTTTAGACAAAAATAAAATTAATTATAAAATTGTTATAAGAAAAAAAAAATTAAAATTGAAATTATATTGGTACTTTAGCCGAGTAACCAAAAAGATAAGATAAGTGATCGATATTGATTTCATTTAGTAGACATGGTTTTAATAATGATTGAAACATAACAATAACATATTGAATTGCCCATATCGTACGGCTTATTGTCTTGATTATCTTCAGCTGAGAGAATTTAAATGATCCACATTTCTTTTATCAACTTTCTTTTCCGGTGAAAAAATGTACGATCTACATGGATCTTCACCAATTTCCGGATAAATGCTGTATGGAAGTACGAGCCGATGTGGAAGTGACTGTGAAATGTGAAATAATGGATACTGTTGTTGCGAGAACAAAGATTCCTCCCACTTGCTTCAACTTCCGCTTCTCCATCCATTTCTGAATGATTGCTTTTCCCAGAGATCCTCAAATCCTGGAGCTTGTTTGTATTTCCTCTTTTTTTCTTGCCACTGGTGTTCTTGATCTTTCCTTTTCCCTGGTCTTCTATGCTTGGATTGTAGAGAACGAAAGATAAATGGAGTTTTAGGGATTGATTTTCAGTTTCCCTTTGATTTTGGATGCCAGAGAGGGGTTTTCCGCTTGTTTTCTTTGCTGATATTGCAGGGCTTACTTTTGATTGATTTAATCAACCCAATAATGGATTTGCTGTTCTTGTGATGGGAAATTGTTGACTGGGTTTTCTTATTGTTAAAACCCAGATGATTTTGAGGCTTGACAATGTCTTTCCAGATTTTAAGTAGTCAATCTTGTATATCTGCTTGTGTAAATACACGTAGATTTCAGTTTCAATGGAGGATGAATCCTGTTCAGGCTGTACCACCATCATCCACTCTTTTGCACACTGATGAAAGTGAACATTTTCCAGAATCTAAAAGGGGTTCTGGGTTCAACTCAGTATCAAAAACGAGCAAAGATTCAACTGGTATTTTGATCAGTCAAGCAAATACAGTGGGCATATTAGGAGGGTCTTCTGTGAATGCTACTGTAAACTTCTTGGGAAAATTAGTTAAATGGAGTACAAAAGATGGAGATTCTGGTCTTCCTTTTGTTCTTTGCTCTGACCCGACTCTTAGTAATGAGCTCCAAGTGTTTGATAGAAGTTCTCACCCAGTTCTCAACTTCAAGAGTGGGGATGTAGGCTTGGACTCTGGACTGGTAGTGGAGAGTTTGAAGGGTAAGAGGGCTTTTCTCGAGAAGTCGGGTGCTCGTTGCATTGTTATGCCTTGTCATATCTCGCATTTATGGTATGAAGATGTTTCAAAAGGGTGTCCTGTTACTTTCCTTCACATGGCTGATTGTGTTGCTAGAGAGCTCAAGGAAGCTAAGTTGAAGCCACTTGAAGCTGGGAGTCCCTTAAGTATCGGAGTTCTTGCGACCAATGCAATTTTAAGTGCAGGATATTATCAGGACAAACTGCAGAATGAAGTAGGCATCCCTGCATTATTTTTGAACTTCATAGATCTTGAAGATCTTATTCCTGAAAGATTATTTTTGAGTGATTTTACCGTAACTGACTCATCCTTGTATATATGCAGGGATTTGAGGTGGTGCTTCCAGACAAAGCAACTATGGAACATACTGTAATTCCTGCCATTGAGGCTTTAAACAGAAATGACATAGAAGGGGCAAGGAATTTACTACGAATTGCACTTCAAGTTCTTCTGGTGAGGGCTGTCAACTCTGTCATCCTTGCCTCTGATGATATGCGGGATCTTTTGCCCCGGGATGATCCCCTTCTTAAAAAATGCATCGACCCGATGGATGCATTAGCAAGGTCCACTATCAATTGGGCACAGTCTGCTGAATAAGGTATTTAGTGATAAACTTTCTCCTGTCTTAACTTTTCGAGATCTCTATTGGTTGTAACTTTCTTTGTCCTGAGAACTATCATGAAATATGTTGAAGTCTACTGCATTGTTTAGAACTGTTGAGTTAAGAATCTCGCACAAACATGACCTCTCTCTCACTTTACAGCAAAACGAAGACCAGTGGTCTATTAATGGAAACATAGAAGGCCTATTGAATACTAGTGTCCTGCCTATTGTTTTGGTTTCAGCTTGCAATGTACTTCTTATTTAGATAGTCACAATTCATTTATGAACCTTGCCAAGTGCCCATAATTGTCGCAACATATTATATGTTAGTTTTAAATTGTCTTGAAGTTTGTTCTGACATTGTACCTTCGAGAAATGCATGGTTTTCACTTCATCCTCTCGGCCCCTCACTAGAACCACTTGGAATACATTGGCTGAGTTTTTCATATGCTGTTATGAGCAATTTTCTGAAAATTAGAACCGTTTGGTAATGTTTCTATTTCTTATTTCTCGTTTCCAATTTTATTAAGAAATTAAATATTTGACAACTATTTATATTTCTTGTTTTTTATTTTTTTAGAAACATTTTCAAAATTATATAAAAATTTTGGAAACAACAAAAACAAGTTTTTGTTTCTTGTTCTCGTTCCCAATATGTTCCAAAATAGAAATAAAAACATTGTTGTCATTCTTGAATTCATGGGCGTTGAAGGTGATGCAACTCTATCTTTCTTTATTAAAAATGAGGAATATAAACAAGAAACGGAAACATTACCAAACGGGCCTTAATTATATTGTACTTGAAAGTGGAAAATGTGCAGTTGAGTTCATGGGGATGTTTTCTGGAAGGTGGAGTTAGGAACTAGAGAGCAATAACTATACATACTAGAACTGCCAAATTGTGGTCATCTCTGATCTTTGTTCTTGTTCTTATTTCCCTTCTTGAGTAATATCATGGCCACTTTCTATTTTTATCACACGAGTAACATTTTATTCTATAAGTTGCTGTTTCTTTAGAGGTTGTTTGATTTGTGACTAATTAGTCTAGATGAGATTCCCAAGTTGTATCATCTTTGTTCGGATTGAGCAAAGAAATGAGAAATAAGTTACAAAAATTCAAGTTTGGGTAATCTATTTTTAGGTTGTGTGTTTATTTACCGATAAAAATTAGTATGTAGTATAAAAAGTGAGTTGTATAAGCTTGAATTTATGTAGTCCACGAAAACTCATAGCTTAAGACAAACAAATCTTGGTCCTTGACTTCAAGTTACAAAAGAGAGATTTTTGGTAATTTATACTTTGTGATGCATTAATCTAGTGGTTGTGTCTATTTAATCTCTCATTTTCACCTTGATGCTGAGTCATTGAATAGGTTGAGTACATTCAATTTGCTCCCTAATCTCGCACTCGACTCTGCTAGATGTGTCGTAATCTCGCTTTCAGGAGGGCCTAGCACTCAAGGAGAATTTGGAAGACTTCGTCAAAATGACTACGGAATTCATCATATACTTGAATTTAGAACCTCCTATTTTGATATCATGTCAAATCACACCAATAGATTAAAAAGTTCAGGTTAATAGATTGGGTTAAATACTCAAATTAGCCTCAACACTTGTATTCAAAGTTTATTTAATAGTATATCTAAGGTAAAAGTTGATATCATTCATTTTATTGACTAAACTTTCTTGAAACATACTTTTATTTTTAAAATTGAACTGAAGATTTTTATTAGTCAAATCTACTTGATTTCATTTGATCCTTTTCTCCTACTTGTGTCGGCGAGGCTAGAATCTTTTAAATCTTTCTTGTTGAAACGTGACTAGTAGAATAACTATGTTATTATTCAAAAAATCAAAAGTTTAGAATTAGCAATAAGTATCTAATATGAGTTCGCCGATACATGAGATAGTTCAATATAGTTCGATAGTTAAAAGACATATTGCTACTTCCTTGAAGTTGAAGTTCAATCCCTCATCTCCAAATTTATAATTTTTTTAATGAGATAGAAATAATTGATAAGCCCGTTCATAACAACAAGGCCTTCGAGTCTTAACGATTCTTCAAAAAGTTGGCCTCTAGAGACAGGCCTCTCGAAACAAGTAACGAGTGGATGAAAACTCATTTTTAGCGCAATGACATACCTGGCGTCTCGTGCTGAGGCCGACCAACTCAATAATTGGTTGATGCCCCAAGAGTGCTTGAAGCCCAATGGTTCCAAAATTATCTCTAAAAAGGCTAGTTGTTCAAAATAAGAAGATATGGAAGGTAGGATGCAAAACTCTTCTTGTTACACTTCACATAAATCCGACTTAAGATCAAATATTGTTTAAGTTTCATCTAATCTTTTTATTCTAAAAGATTTGTGGAAATTTGGTAATCCTATCAAATCAAATTCATGCATCTAACATTTGTAATTAAACTTTGGATTAAATGCATCATTTAATTCTACTTGATGATATTGAAACTCAAAACATCCATTCTCATGATTAGCTTGTGCTTAGAATAATAAATGAAAATGGACCCAACTTTAATTAATAGGTTTTTCTTTCCACCCCTAACTGCCCACAATTCAAAGTAACAAACTAAAGCTTCAAAAAGTTTTAACTCTTTGCATGGCCAAACAAGCATGGTAAAATAAAGTCACTTTGGTAATTAAAATTTTTATCACTTTTGGCAAATGGGGGTAGAGGAGAACATGTTTGGACCCTCCCCAAAAATTAAAAACCCTACTTTATATAAAAGTAGCTCTCTCCATTAGTTGGAACAATTTATTGTTCAATTATGGTCGAGGGAGTGCAAATAAAATCCAATTATCTCTATTTGTATGAGGTATTTTGTATGGGATACCGTTGTATCCTCAACAATTATAACTACGGAGATTTTGTGACTAGATTGAGAAGTGTTGAATATTTCGTTAGCTTAATTTCGTGTGATTTAGTATTTGATTGATTAGAATGAATTATTTTAATTTAGTTTTAAAGATATATTAATTTTGCAATTGCATAAATTCTCATCTTTTAGCCTAAAACTGTCTAGAATCTAATTAGAAAATTTTAAAAGTATCCAAATAATTATTGCAAATTTATAAATCTTCAAAAAAATTTTGGGAGTTTTCTAATAATAATAATAAAAAAAAAAGTAGTGGTCCAGTGGAGCAGTCATTTCACAATAATTATTTAATTTTTGGTGACTCCAAGAAAGTTAACCTTTTTCTTTCTTCTTCTTCTCTCTCTCTCCTCTCTTTTTCTTTTCCTTTTTTCTCCCTCCTTTTCAGAATAGAAGAAAGCAAATAAACATTTCTCCTACTTTAGATGTTTAGATAATTATCATGGGAAATCCAAGGAAAAAAAAAAGAAAAAAAAAACCTTTCTTCTTCTTCTTCCTTCTTTTTATTTTTTATATATTTTTTTTTAATTTCATAAGGCTTAGAAGAAGTTAATTAAGAGATATTACAGCAGCTGATAATGAACATTGATTTTGGACAATATCTCAAATTTTCAGCACAGGAATAACAGGCACCCAGAAATTAAAGAAAAAGTTACAAAAAAAAAAACAAAAACTAAAAAAGAAAAAAGAGACAGACAGAGAGAAGAAGAAGAAAGCTAATGCAGGTTATGAAGTGACTCTTTGAAATTTGCTCAGTTGGAAACATTACCTGCAAAAAACATGGAAGAAAAATAAAAATATATCAATGATTGAATATATAATTAGAAATTATTTTGACTTTAAAAAATTTTAGATTAAAAAAAAAAGGAAAACAGGTTAAGCAAACGGTTGACAGTTATACTGTAAATGTTATTTTCTTAATAATTGATTTTCACACACCCAAAACTTGATGACGGAGGATCTTGGCTTGACTAGCTCCGTTAGTACGAGTCTCTCGGAGCACTGCATCTAAAACATTCCATTCTGCTTGCAAAGTTGTGTTCGTTGCATCCCGACCTGTATGGTAATCGACCATTCATGAGAAAATCTAGATGATATTTTTTAGAGAAAAAAAATTGAGTAACTATGGTTTTAAATATGTTTTATTTTTGTTGGATAAAAAAAATCGATAGTCACCGAGTATAAGAATTTCTTTTTTACTCACAAGGAGGTAAAGTTGTTTTAGTTTTTAGTTTTCTACTTTGAAAATGATGTTGGTTGAGTCTCGCACTTTCTTTAGTAAAAAATATTTAATTTCTTAACCAAATTTAAAAAGTAAAAATAACTTTCTGTTTTCTTAGTTTTTAAATTTTATTTTAAAAGTTAAAAGGCAAAATAAAGAAAGTAATGTTTACAACTTTAGTTTGTAAAAATAGAAACGGGCCTGAAATATTACCGGGCACAAATCCAGTCTCCAGACTTCCAGGCAGAGGCACCAGTTCGGCCGCCAGCACCGGTGCCATTGGCAAAGCCGAAGGAGGTTCCTCTGGAGCGAGGAAGATCGAAGTCGAAGCCTCCACCCAACATGTCGTCTTTGAAGGCACCGCATTTGAAGCAGCTCGAGCGGCTAGCGAAATTGTGGGCTCCACAATTGCCGACGGTACAGTACCAGTCTCCGGGCCTGACGTCGGAGCCGCCGTAGCCGAATGCGGAGCCTCCTCTTCCGCCGCCGTTCATTAGACCGCCAAAATCAGCGCCGCCGCTCTTGGGGTCGCCGCAGCGCTGGCACGTGTCCCTCCTCTGGAAGTTCAAGTGCTGGCACGACCTGCAATTCCAGTCTCCTGGTCTGCTCATCTTCTCTCTGCAAATGGATTTCAAACTTCCAACTTTTATACATACAAATGAAACCGAGGGCTCTTTGGTAACTTTTGATAAACTATTTTCTAATACCAGAGTTAGAGAATTCTCATGACTCAGTTGAACTATGTTTAAAATAAAAAATCTTTCTTACTGACATATGAAAATACTGATTACCGATAAATTTTTTTTATAAAGAGAGAAAAAAATTTCTAAAACATTTTTAAAATTATATATACATTTGGTAAGAAAGAACATTTGATTTTCTTGTTTCTGTTTTTAATCTTTTTTCTATCAATACTTTATCATTTTTACCTACAAAATAAATTAAATATAAAAAACATATATATAACAAAACAAAATTGACTTTAAAAAAAGTTAATTTTCAAGTAAAATTAAAGAGAGAAAGGAAAAAAAAAAAGAAACGAATGGTCGATTTTGTAACATTTTTCGTTTCTTGTTCATGTTTCCTTATTTTTAATAAAGAAAAATATAATTACATGAACCCAAAATCCACAAATTCAATAACGATACAAAATTTCTATACAAATTAAAGAATGTTTAAACAAAGAACCTAAAACTTAATGAAATTGAGAACGAGAACATCATCAAACGAACTTTAAACGAATTAAAGAAGGAGAAAAAACACATGAAACAAGTATTGAAGCTAGTTTTGTTTTTTCTTTCTAAACAAATTAAAGAATATGAGATATGAGAGAGGGGGAAAGAAGGAAAAACGAAAACATTATCCAACGGTTCTCAAAAAATTCTAATAAAAAAAAGAAAAGAAGATGGAGAACAAACCGGAAGGAGAAATGTGAAGGAGAGGAGCTGCTGTGGTGCAGTAATGGTGAAGAATGAAGAATGAAGAATGAAGAAATGGCGATGGAATAGGTAAAGAAGGGAAAGAGGCGTTTATATACACCCAAATCCCACTCAAAAAGTGGAGTATTGCCAATACTTTGCTTCCAAACCTTTTTCTTTCATTTCTTTTATATACACACACATATAAATAATATTCTTTCTTTTTATTTTCTCTCTCACAACAATTACGACAAAAAGAGAGAGAGGGGGAGAAATAAGAAAAATATTTCACAATTCTTGCACTTTTTTTTAGAAAAATATAGGTTCAAAAACACTTTTAGTCTATGTAATTTCGTTAACGTAACAATTTAGTCTCTAAACTTTAGTTTGTAACGATTTAGTCCATGTACTTTAAAATTGGTAGCAATTTAGTCATTGAACTTTAATGTGTCACAATTTAGTAATTGTAATTTAAAATGGGTAACGATTTAGTTCTTATCGTGAAATTTTTTTATTAAGTTTCTTGTATTTATAGATTGATAAATTAAAGATGGACCAAATGTGTGTTTATGAATTAGAAAGATTAAATTGTTATATGATAAAATTTGACAGTTAATTTTAATAAAAAATTTTACTATAGGGATTAAATTGTTACAAGTTTTAAACTATATGGACGACTAAATCGTTACAAGTTAAAATTTATGGACTAAATTGTTACTTTAGGGAAAGTATAGAGACTAAATCGTTACAAACTGAAGTTCATGGACTAAATTGTTACTTTAGTGAAAGTATAGAGACTAAATTGTTACAAACTATTTAGTCTATATATATATATCTTTCATCTTCCCTCCTGTTTTTCTCTATCCAGTAAAATATAGGTGTGTTGGCCAGTAAGTATCTAAATATTATGTTCGATAAATAATATCAATGTGTTTTTTTAGTACAACATGTGGAGGCGGGGATCGAATTCACAACCTATTAATTGGAGATATATGTCAATTACCGATGAATTATGCTCGCTTTGGCAATATAAGTGGGTTTTGATTTGATTCGAAAGAAAGGAAGGGGATATTTTGAATTTTGAACAAAAAGAAAAGAGAGTCTTTTTCACTTCTCCCACTGTGTTCTTTTTCTTTTTAGGGTTTGTAAACGTGAGGAGGGAATAGTGTGGTACACAAATGCATGCAAGTATCTAACAACAGGACAATATAGTTCTATTTTCTTACAATCTCTCTTAAAAAAAATTTATTTTCTCTTTACTTTTTTTCTTTAGAGGACATGGAGCAAAGATGGGAAATATTCAACTTTTTCACCTATGATATCTTTAGGGTTTAGGATTTTGAATTTTCAAAGGCAACATCGTAACTATTGTTTTATCTAGTATCGACAATATTCTTAAATTGAAACAAACGATAAATATAATGAAGTTCGTGGATCAAACCATATTTTCGAGAAAGTAAATTAATAATATTTTGAGATAAAGTTAGAAGACGAGGGGGCTAAAAAGACTTTATATATGCCAATTTGAGATCAATCAAGGGTGTGTTTTATAATTGAAAGGATAGGAGCAAAAATTTTCCATCTAGGATTATATTTATCTGTAGTTTGAGCTATCAACATATAGAGAAAAAGAAGAAGATAATTTAGAGATAGGTTTGATAATTATTTCGTTTTTTCTGTTTTTAAAAATTGTGCGTTTTTTTTTTTTAATTTCATTGTCAAGTTTTTCATCTCTACGTTCAAAACATATTTCAATTCTTAGTGGGCCAAATTTAAAAACAAAAGTTACATTTTAAACTATTTTTTTTTCCTTTCAAAATTTGGTATAGATTTTGAAAACTTTTATAAAAACTATATAACAAATAAATAAAATATAGGCAAAAGTAATGTTATTTCTAAGCTTAATTTTTAAAAAACAGAAAATAAAAAACGAAATGGTAACCAAAAATATAAAACATATCTATATGCCTCTCGTCTCTCGCATGTTATATTATTGTATGGGGAAAGAGAGAGGGCCTTGATTTGTAATTAGCCAAAAAAACTCCAACAAATAATAATGAATAATCTTATTTGAACCGCAAGACCCATCCATTGAGTGAGGACGAATATCTGACTTTAGTGATCAGACATATAAACACTATATAAAAAATATATATAACAAGCGTAGTATCAAGCTATGGAAAAAACTGTCTACTCTTGATTCAACACACTTCCACTTTTAATGTCCGAGTTGATACTCTTATTTTCTCCCGAATCATAGTAATATTTTTTTTTAATCAGATCATTGAATTACTCCTCATCTTGAAGTTAGATGTTCAAATCTTCACGTCCCCATATATAATTGACCTAGTCGAAGTGCATATAAGCTTATTCAAACACTTCAATTCTGAATAATATTGAGGATAATCAACATCCCAACCTAAGTAAAAATAAAAAAAAGGGAAAAAAAGAAAAAGAAAGAAAGAAGAGAGCCCCTATTTTGTTAATAAAGTAGAGAAATAAAGTTGGGGGTAAGAATTAGGCCCACAAGGAAAGGCAAATAATTAAAAAGAAAATGTGGAGATACTAATAATTAATATTCCAATGTAATGAATATTCTAAACACATACAAAAAACTTAACCCTTTGGTACGACAATGTCTTATCTCAATCATACCCTATTTTCTAATTTCCACAAAAATAACATCACTTTTTTTTTCTTTTTTTACTTCTGTCACCATTGAACACTCATTTTTACTTTTTTTTTTTTTGAAAAACCCACCAGTTTTTTTTATTTTTTTACTCAAAACTTTATAAAAGTTTGAATATCCACCTATTTTCACGTATTATCTTTGTCCATATATGTATAAAAAGTGAACAATGTCCAAACTTTTTCTAATATTTCAAAATTCAACCCTAAATCATATAAGATTCCCATATGTGGTGCCTCTCTTTTTCTTTTTCAGAAAAAAAATCTCATAAAAAGGCGCAAAAAAGATCATTTTTCTTGTTGAATAATACTGATAATAAGATAAAACGAGAGTGACTAACATATTTAGTTGTTTATCCTTTCTTGATGTGTTTGAAATGAAAAGGTCGTTTTCATTTAGCATGCAAAGACTACCATATAATATGGTCGATAAATAGTACAACTTTTACCTAAAACATATATACATTAAAAAATATTGAATTAATACCAAACCCCAAATTAAATTAAAGTTGGGTAAATCTAATCTTTCCCATATAAATTTTAATATTTTTCCTAATTGGTGGGCTTCCATATTGGTAAAAGATTTATTATGAATATTTGATCAAACCCTTAAGTTAATAGATTAATTAAGATATGTTAAATATACTCAATATATTGTTTTAACTATGGAAGCATCAAAAGAATATTTTGATTGGATTTTGTTGTTGATGTATATAATTTCTTTTCCCTTTTGGATTTCTTAATCAACAAGGATTAATGAGAAATAGAGATAAGAGTTATAAAAGGAGGAAGAAAAAAAGTGGGAGGAATTTAATTAAAATTCAAAAGGAAAAATGAAAAAGAGGGGAAAAAAAAAGCAAAAATGTGAGTTTCAATAAAGGTTAAGTTGGAGGGGTGATATGTTGGAATAGCCAAGTCTTCGAGGTTTCATTTTGACCATCTTTTCTCTTTTCTTTATTTTCCCCTTTCCACTTTTCTTTTTCTTTTTCTCTCTTCACCCACACCTATCTCAAAGTACCATATATACCGATCTTTCTTTATTCACAACGAGTGAACTACACATCATTTTTAATACGAGGCTGATACAATAGACATAGTAAATGGAACGTGTGTTTGTACACCCCGACACTTATGCAACAGACACAGTAAATAGAACGTGTGCTCATACAACCCGATTCGATCAAATGGTTTTATTTCTCTCTTGACCCAAATTCATAAAATTGGCTCTCTTTCTCTCTTTTCACCCACACCCATCAAAAAATGGGCTCTAGTCTCTCTCCACACCCACCTATCAAATGAGTCTCTTTCTCTCCAAAAGAAGAAATGAGAGAGCATTCTCTTGGGGAAGGGTAAAGGGAAGAGGGGGAGAGGGCAAACTGTAAAGAAGAGAAAGAGAAAGGGAAAGTGGGGCTGATTCGATTCTCCTCGGGAATCACTTCCATGCATATGACCACGACCAACTCATTATATATATCTCTCTTTTATTTCTTTCTCCGTCTCTAAATTGGTCTACGATAAAAGGTATATATATATGTATATGTTCAACGTGACTGCTACTTTTATATGTGTTAAATCCATGAGAAAGATTGAAAAATATTTTAACAATCATAATCATAAGAGTGACAGTTAATTTGAATAAAGACTTTTTCTTTTGTACGTAAAAACTTTCGTCAATGGAATCTTACCACTTTTCCAAACAAAGTATGGCAGTAAAATTTGCATCTTTTCTTTCCCCTTTAGTTTTGTTAAAGTTTTTTTCCTTATTTCTTTTACTTTACAGTTGTGTGGATGTTTTTATTTTTTCATTTCTCTCACATGGGTAATCATGGAAAAACACTTCACTTCTTTTTTTCTAACATTCATGTTCAAAAAAGTATGTGTAGATTGTGATGGATATTAATCCCTGTTCTTTATACCATAGGGAAAAAAAAAGAGACTACTTTAATGTGATATTATTACATTCAACCATCCAGAAGATTTTTACTTGAATAATTGCACATGCATGTAAAAAGAGTACTAGTAAAGTGCATTGGTTTTTTTTAAAAGGCTTAATTTTAGCCGTTATAGAAGAATAACCAATTTCTGTAAGAAATTTTTTTTATGAGAAACAGAAAAAAAAATAATCGTTTTTACCCCTTCTTAAAGCGAATTAAATAACTTAATTACTCTAGGCTAACTTATGAATAAAGTTCATATATTGAACTTGTTAATATGAACATAATTTAACTAGTTAAAACATATATCGTGTCAAAAGATCGAATCCACACTCGACTCCTACATATCGTTGAACTCAAAAAAATAAAAGATATCCATATATCTTTTTAATATTTCTCTATTTTATATCAATTTAGTCCCCAACCTTGATAAAAATATGCACAATAATTCGTTTTTGGAGACAAAAATATCTATATGGATGAAAAATATAAAAATCACAATTTTGTAGAGATTTTGATGGAAATAGCATCAAAGTATTCAGGTTGATGAATACGCCTAAAAAGATCATAAAAAAATAAAGTCGTAAAAATGCTCTCCATAAACATACGTGTTTTAGTGGTGAAAATTGACTTCACAAAAGTTCGATATTAGCATTGAGACCGAGAGATCAGATCTCAGAGCTTGCTAATGGAATGATAACAAGATTGAACTAAAAATGATATGATCAAACAGCGACAGAGAACTTAATACTCAATCTTTAACAAAATTAGTAGCGATAGATGTCGCACTATCGAACTCGATACATTCTTGCATTTTGTACTGAAAATTCAAGTTGGTCCTCAGAAACATACAGAATCACAGATCTAGACGTATGCAACTTGAATCCTGATTTTGTTCCAAAATATCAACTTCTCCAAACTGATATATGTGGTGGATTCAAGTGCATGCCACTTGATCAAAAGCCATTCTTAGACGGTATCTGGCAGCGAGAAGGCGAAATTTGGAAGCTAATAATGAATGCCCATTGACCCCTTTTCTATACTTCGGATCGTTTTTATGCACAAAAATCCCGAACGCTATAATAAAGGCTTCCGGGTATTAGGAAAACAAGTTACCAGCAAGATTCATCACAACCCTTTTCTACTCCGGTGCATAGGACTTCCTACACTTCGTGGACTGACAGATGCGGTTGAAGGATACAAATCCCTGTGTGTTGCCGAAGCACTTGCTCGAGGTCCAGGACTTGAAACTTGGCGAGATGATCCCGGGGCTAGCTCAATCACGTTTGCAGCCTCAACTTCCAGATTCTTGGCTTCCTCAGCCAGTAATGCTAACTGTTTTAACAGAAAAGCCATCAGCCTCTAAAAACAGTTTAGAATTACCTAACATTCTCTGCCAGATAATGAAGTAACGATTCGCATTCATCCGACTCTTTTGCCCCGATGCAAATGGGTCAGCTAATTATGTGCAGAAAATGTCCCCTTTGGAGTCCATGTCATAAAATCAGAGGGAGAGTCAAATTTGCTAGATTGATTTTATGAAAGCTTTCAAACAGAGGTAGATTCTGTACAGTAAGGAAACATCAACCTTTGAAATTTATTCATACCCGGATTTCGTTCTCTTTTACGCGGTCCTGGAGCACACTTATGGCTGGACTTAGACTGCAAGCAATCAAAATGGAAATAATATCAATTAAAATGAAATGTGCATACAGGCACATGGGTTGATAGAGGGCAGGAGCCTAACCAATATTCAATTAGCTTGCACATTGAAGCCTGATATGTTGACGTGTGATGTATGAACGTTAGCGGATGCACTTTACCGTCTCTAGGAGAAATAAAAAAATGATAACCAGAGTCAATAACAAATGGATTATGGGACCATTAATAAATTAGAGAAGGTTAAATTACAAGTTTGGTCCTAAACTTTGAGGGTTGTGTCGAATAAATTCTTGAACTTTAATAAGTTTCTAAAGTTTCTAAACTTTCAATGTTATCTAACAAATCTCTAAACTTTTAACCGTGTATAATAAGTCATCTAAACTTTCAATTTCATGTTTAATAGATTCCGAAGTTTAAAAAGTGTTTCATAAGTAAGAAGTTACAAAACCTATTAGACACAAGCTTGAAAGCAAGTTTAAGAATCTATTAGATATTTAGACACTTACAAATTTGTTAAACTTGAAAGTTTAAGACTTTTTTAAGTTTAGAGACCTATTAGATATTTAGACACTTGCAAATTTGTTAAACTTGAAAGTTTAAGACTTTTTTAAGTTTAGAGACCTATTAGGCACAATATTGAAAATTTAGGGTCATATTTTAAGTTCAAACAAACTTGTAATTTAACCCTAAGAGAAAAAGTATGCTCCAATGATTAATGAAAGAGATAATCGTTTGGTTACCTCATAATATTCAAGATGGCTTGGTTATAAGCCGATCTCTCCTCTTCAAACAGAACATGCTGTAAATCTGTAAAAGACATTAATGGTGAATCGAGCTTGATGAGGGATGCAGTCGGCATAACATGAAGAGGAATCTCTTTCCTTGAGAACTCGGCAGCACTGCAAGCAAAAGAAAACACATTCACAAGGTTTAGACTTCTGAGTAGTAAAGCCACACTCTGCCAGCTCCAGAAAAGGAAAAAAATGATGATAATGAACGATTCGTCAGTGAATAATAAGATAACAAAGACATTGGAGCGTCCAACTCCCTATTAAGGCAGCTATACAAGTTAACTAAGTCGTGTCTTCATCATTAGTTCAATAGCACAGTTCGAGCCATTCTTCAGTATCCGAGATAACACCAAGAAATCTGCACTTGATGTACCTCATTTCGATATTCGAACGGTGCATTGCTTCTTGCATACTTTCAGACAAGTCCATTGGATCAATATCAGTAATCCCACTGTTCGTATTGTTAGTAAGATAGCTTCCACCCATTTTCTCTTTTCCTTGAGAGTTGGTATCGGCATTAGCAAAGAAATAACCCAACTCTGAAGATCCTCCAGTACCCTGCAAACAATGTCTAACAAGTCATACACACCATTAATGGTGAAATGTGCAATGCACCACACTTCCAAATTTTAACGAAATTGAATCCCCGAACTGGATTGTTAAATAAAATCTGCAGACTCATTTTGATGTCTCCTTTAATGACAAACAGTGACCAAGTGACTTCAATGAACCAGTAGACAATTACTTCATGTGTTAGCTCAAAAACATTATGCTAAAAGAAGTCACATCGGATAGTCAAATCTTCCCACTTTTTTCATAGAGGATAAACCAATAGGGTATTTTAAAGCTCAAACCTTGGATAAATGCTTGCCAGATACAACAATGTGAATATACTTCAAAATTTGTAAAATATCCTGAACAAGTTAAATCTTATTCACAGAACTCGAGTAGGCTATTATTTGCAACAGCATCTTACCAGAGAGTAAAACAAAAAAAAAACAAAAAACAAAAAAATCTTTGCTTCCTAATTGACAAGAAAATGAACGGGTAATAGATTAATAGAGGAGAAACAGAAGCCGAAGGGTATTGGGTCAGAGCAGAAGAAAAGATAGAAAGGGATGATTCAACCTTGTAAATTACCTGAATATGATCCTCAAAAGTGTTATTTATTTTTCTGTGATAGATTTTCCTATTTCAAACTAAGGCAGAAATCATTAAGTATCAATCAATTAGACAACTTTCAAAATATCTTAGATTCAAAATGTATCCCTGCAAAAAGACGATGCTATCTAACATTTTGGCAGAACCTTCTGCTCATCATTCAATTTAATCTGCTCATATGAATGTCAATTTGTAATGAACTTGTGTCATACTTGTACCTTAATAGCACTAGCAACCATTGAATCACCAGTGTCTTGTTCAGGACTCTCCCCTGGTCCGTAGCCTGCTTTTGCCGATAAATTATCAGAGGAACTCAAAGAAGATTCAACATCAATCACTGAATTTCGATACACGGGAGATAAAGAAATGGGTCTTGAGAGGTGATTTTGTTTCCCATCTGAGGACTGGAAAGCAATAACTTGAATTCTTCCAACCTGACATTACCCAACTAAGTATGGTTAGCAAAAATGTAAACATATAATCTCCAAAGCAAATACAACTATTCAAACCTTGTTTGCATCTTCACTAAAACAGGAAAATATCAGCCCAATAAACCCGGAATCAAGGAGCTGATATGTCCCTTGAGTTCGCACATCTGCAGAAAGTAAAGATTTACATGACCGAATTATCGAAAAGTTATTTTCTTTGATTGAGAAGTGCAAAAAATATATATTTAACAATAAAATAATATCTTCCAATATATAAATCAAGGAACCAAGGCCAAAATTGCAGCAAAGACATAAAGTACAATATCAGTGATGGACCCAAACTTTGACATGAAAGGTCGATTATCATCTCATATAACATAGGGATATACATGACAATTTTTATTTTGCAGGGTAATATTTAACTAAATCAGCCAACTCTTACAAAATTCATGTGGGAACACGAAGAGGAACAAAAACTGCACTGCACTAATGAAATTTCCAATGATCTGGAATTTTCAGATTTATATTATTTATTTATTATTATTATAAATCATCAGAACAAACAATTTTCAAAATAAAATTCTCAAGATTAAAACAGGTCGCAATTTGGCACCACAGATGAGTCAATACTAACCAACGTGGGAAGGAAGCACTGTAATATGAGGGTGTGAATGGTACCACCCAATAACTCTAGTTGTTTTCCCGGTCATTGCTGTCATTCTGTTCTATAAAATTAAGTACACAACAATATTGAATAAAAGAAAAATAATTTCATATAGCGCGAAAGAAGAAGCGAATCAATCAGAATGGAGATATGGAGAAGAGGCGAAAGAGTTAATCACTAGTGGAACAATAAATAATCAAAATAATCCTTCAAAATGTGAATAGTTAATCTCCTCATGTTAAAGTACTTCACATAGCTAACACCTACATTTAAAATCAGTTAAAATCTGCCATATTCTACCTTTCAAATAGAGGTCATAATGAAAATCCCTCACTCATAAAATTTTACCAAGGTCCCCATACAGCAAATTCCTAGTACATGGCAAGCCTATTTCTTATACTTCTTTTTTACCCGCCATAAATAAACATGCTTCATCATAGTATAAATGAAATCATATAGAGTCTAATATAGTGGTTCAACAGACAGGATGCATCAGCAAGAACTGAGATGAATTGTTTCATTTGTCAGGATTATGATCACGATGCACTACAGGGGATGTATCAGCGATAAATAGAACAATGTCTAGAGGATAAAAAATTTCCAGAAAAAAATGGAGCAAAGGATATCTCAGCCTGGGCAGATGCAGCAGCCAATTGTTCAGGGTGAGTCTCCACACGGTCCTTCCTTCTGTCAGACCGTGTCTGAGGCGATGCTCCCCAAATTAATGCAGTTACGTTACCATTTCTTGAATGCTTCAAATTACATTGTCAAAACGAAATTGTAAAGCAAAGCATAATTGACATAACAATAATTTTCTAAAAAAGGCAAACATAGCATTAAAGCTCTTAGAGCCTCATCCATGAAAACAACTACTCAAACTCTAGAGAGAAATTTTAAAGTTAATCTCTCTATATCGTGTTGCTAACAACTTGACCATAATTCTAATTGACCATCTAACAAGAGCTGCAACGGATAAAGAAACTTCTGTAAAAAATAAACCAAGTCCATTTCTAGCTGCCATAAATGCCACTCCTCGCAGTGGATTTTACAAAACGACCAGGAACCTACGAACTGAGCCAAGGGGGCACAACAAAATTAGCTCTAAATAGAGAGAATCAAACCACAAAAACAACCCCATTTGCCAGCACAACAGAAAACGAATAGGAATCAACCAAATTAAGCTCTGTTTCAGATAGATATCCAATAGAAGCAGGCAAACCAAGAAACACACACCCTGACCCGGTAACCCAAATTAAAGCAAAACCCACAACAGACTACACAAAATTGACAAGACTGAGCTGAAACAAAGTTGCAGAACCCCTACAAAAAGAGTAGTAAAGTGCAGAGTGAAAATCTAGAGAGTGACCTCAATATCGCCGAGCAGAAGCCCCATGATTTCCTCAGTCTCCGTGGACAATGCATGAGTGAGACAAGTAAACCAGACGTCTTCGGACATCTTCACGCCCGTCAGAGACATCTTCTGATCGCCGTTTTGTTCTTTCAATTCAATTCGGAAACTTACTTCTCTCTCAAGAAAATGGACGCAGAAAGTGAGAGATTCCGAAGGATCTTCGAGCTTTGAAGTGAGAGTGGCCGGAGTTTCGAAGGGCTTGAGCAGCGGATCGAAGGCTCTTCTCTGGAGCAGTAATTCAGTACGGTCGATCATACGGTTGATAGGTTAGACTTTTATCTTTGATCATTTCATTGATCAGCACTTGGACTTAAATACTGTACGATTTGGACACGTCATTCTTTTTGTTGAATTCAAATAATAATATAAATTGTTGCATTTTAATTTTTTAGCAAATAATTGTTTGTTCATTATTGAGACTGTCATCATTTTCCTTTGAAAAAAAAAAAGAGAATACCATTATTTTTCCTAAAATGTTTTTGGTAACTGTTTAATTTTCTAAATTATTAAATATAACTCAACCTATTGAAACATAAACCATTCACCATTAACTGTTAAATCATCATTTTGTTAGGTTAATTCATTAGTTAAAAACCAAACTCAAATTTTAAAGAGTAATTAAAGACTAAATTCAAACTTCCGAAAAAAAAAATTGTAAAACCTAAGGATCAAATATAAATTAAATTTAAACCTAATAATCAAAAGGATGGTCTTTTAAACTTGAAGTATATTTTATCCTTAATTTATTATAATTACCCTCATTATAACTTTTTTAAAACTTGTTGAAGAACTTCTTGTGCCTCTACGAATGGAAAAAAAAACAGACTTTAGAGGGTATTAAACATTTGTCAACATCTCTAACATTTTCACGTGTTCGTGAGTTCGTCATCGACATTTTAAGAGTGAATCAATATTTCCATAGTATTGCAAAAAATCGATAAGATATAAAATGATCAACATAGCATCACTAATATATACATCATGTTAATATTAATAAATTTTTATTTGTTTAAAATATGTAAAATACTTATTTGATTATTTAAACATTTATTATAATTTTTTATTTTTATAACTTTTCCATGAATATTTGTCCACATTACATTTTGTCATTCCCAAGCTTGGCTCTGTTTAGCATCCAATCCGTGGCAAGTTCATTAGAACAAAGTAATTGTTTTCTGAAAAAGGAAATTGACAAAAATAATTACTAAATTATAATATATATATATATATATATATATATATATATATATATATATATATAAAAGCGGCGTACAGTAATTTGATAGGCGGAGATGCAGCTGATCATAAAGAGGAGGAAAAACGAAAACAAATAATAAATAAGCAATGAGAGAATAAATGGAATTAAAACCCTCCTCTGCCGAGCCCCGGCTGCCTCTCGCCGACCAACCGAAACTTGTTTCTTCCCCGTTTCCGGCGGAAATCTCCACCGACGGTGAGTTTTCTCCTTCTCTTACAGCGCTTCACAACCATGTATTGGTTTCTTTAATCTTCATTTTCCCCCTCGCAGCTTCCTCTTGTCAATTTCTGCATTTCTTTTGAGCAACAGCCATGTGTTAGTATGTGAGTGAGAGCTCTATGCTCGTCGATTTTGGACGATCTGCGTCATACCAATTATCGTTTATAATCTAACATTATGTGGAATTAATTCATGTCCATTTCCATATGAGTTGGATATTATTCCAGAAACTGTACCCTTTAAACAATTTTTCCTCAGTGAGGTGACTGTCTGCTTGTAATCCTAAAAATGTTTTTGTTTTTCTCGAGGGAGTCGTTTCTGATTCTCAGTTTGTTATTGTACCTTGATATATGCTACTGTTTCGTATGTTAAAATCCACACTCCAAGTCTCTGACTCTTGAATTTGTTGTCTTACTTCAGATAATCTACTCGGGCGTTGCTTGTCCGACAGGGTATTATAATTGGAATCATGGCAAAGTCATTATCAAATTTGCTCTTCAAGGGCTTGGCTGGTCTACCGGCTGCTCGCTCTAGCAGAATGGTACGGTTTGAAGAAATCACACTATCATAAAATTAGTTCCTGATTTCTATTGTTGAGATTTTTCTTTTTATGCCATGTGAAAAATTATGAGGCCATCCATGTTCAAGTTTCCCTGCTCTTTTTTCTGCGCCGTCTGAATGGTAGTAATTTATTATCTTCAATTTATCTCATACAACTATCCCGAGGTTTAAAACTTTGAAGCAAAAGATCTATGGGATGTCCATTTTTGTGGGTTTGGAGATGAATCATGAATGTTGTAACTTATAAATAATGCCGGTTTTGCCTTGGTTGTTTGATATTGTAAATTTTCTATGCCATTACTCTTGATGACAACTTTCCTTTTATCTCATTTGGGTATACTAAAAATGTATTTTTTTTTATTCTTCATCCAAGTAATGGTTGAGTTTGCTTAAATTTAAAGTATAATAGGTTTTATTGGAAACTTTGATGAATGGTGGCAATGTGAAATTACATGGTAGATAGTGATGACCTACGGATTATCAGAGTTTACTGGTGAAGCTTGTACTATGGTCTATGCAATATGATAACATGGTGCCTCAATTTAAACTGTTCATAGGTGCCCGGGTTTTACTACCAGCATGGAATGAGATACTCAACTTCTGTACCTAATGATCCTGATACCCATGAAGATTTCAAACCTACCAATAAACTTGAGAGTTCTGGTATTTCTTTGAAGGATGTCGTTGAACAGGTATGTCTGCTATTGTGAAAGAACTGCAATATTTGTATAGGAAGGATACTTTGATGTATTTAATTTTTGTGGAGGTAGGAAAACCATGTGCTTTCTTTTTTTTWAAAAAAAAGGTCGTCCTGGTGTGAGTAGGATGTGAGGAATTTAAGAATCAGTACTACTGGTTTAAAAATACTGGCATATTACTTCACCCGTGACTTCAATTTTCAAATGGCTTGCATGTTTTAGAATTCACACTGTAAGGTCTCTAATTCTTCAACATATTGACTTGCAACTATCTATACTTCCATGAGTTCGTTATGTTATATGTTGACATTATTTTTCGTTCTGTCTTGTTATTAGGATGTCCAGCAAAATCCTGTGATGATTTACATGAAAGGGGTGCCGGATCTCCCTCAATGTGGATTTAGCGCTCTTGCAGTTAGAGTGTTAAATTTATATAGTAAGTGCTCATTGTGTCCTTTCTTTTATGTGAGTCTGGTCTCTCTTGGTTAAAGCTTATTTGAGAACTTACATATTTGCTCTCCCGAAACATAAATGGTGGTCTTATCATATTATGTATGGGTAGTTGGGTACATAATATTGTGTATAAAGAGTAGATTATAACTATATGGTCTTAAGAATTCAAGTTATTGGCTCAATGATCTCGAGTGTCACCATTATCTTGCTTTTTCTAATCTTATTTCTAGTCGTGGTTGCTGTTAGAATCTATATTGAATTTTTAAATTGTACACTTACCTTTAATCACCATGAATTGGCCTTGTCCATTAGGAGTCAATGGAAAAAGGAAAGAGTTCAAAAGAAATTTATTCAAACCATGGAGGCCCCTTCGTAAAATAATATTTTGCGAGTTTTCTTGGATAATAAAATAGAGTACGGACAGGCAGTTGTCCCATTAGATTACGTGGTGTGCGTAAGCTAACTTGTAACTCATACATATATTTATCAAAAATCTTAGCCTTACATGTTTGTAAATACTTGCAGCATCTTCCTCTTGCTTGTCATGTTTTCCCATAATTCTCATGTGCACAAATTTGCAGATGTTCCTTTGAGTGCTAGAAATATCCTGGAAAATGTCGAGCTTAAAAGTGCTGTGAAATCCTTTAGGTATGCTAGCCCCTGGATACCAACTTTCCCTATACAGGGTTGGAAATTTTCAAATATTTGATATTAAAACTTCAATGTTGTAATTGAAGTGAAGTGGAGTAAAATGCTCATCAATATGTTGTGATAAAGTGAAATTTTTGCATGCAGCAATTGGCCAACATTCCCACAAATTTTCATAAAAGGAGAGTTTATTGGAGGATCAGATATCATACTCAATCTGCATCAGGTTAGACTGTTCTCATATAAGTTCCCGAGTTCGGTTCACTTTCCGTAGGATCATTCAAGGATCAATTGGTTGATCATCAGAATTTTTTTTTAGATGACATGACCCAACCTTATTTTCATGGTGTCCATGTTGTCTGGCCTTGACACTGTTATCTGTCATGTCTCGTGTAGTCTGGAGAATTGAAGGAAAAGCTCAAAGACATTGCAGCCAATCAGAAGACTGAATAAAAATTTATATCACTCGCCAAGTATGGAGAAGGAGACATTTGGTGTTACTCAAACCGATTTTGTTACAACTTATAAGATGATGAGGCTGGAGATTATTTAACTCGTCAGGTCTATTCCCTACTCTCATGTACTTCTTTTTCCATTCTAAACAGAGGGGCTTTGGTCACTCCTTTAATACATTTTGTTTCTAATAAATATGACCTGCGAGCAATGTAGGGCCTTTTCCTTCCATTAATATTCTAAGATGTACTTGTGGGAATTTTTTCATACAAAGGTGGTACTAAAATGTTAGGGTAAGGATTAAAAGTTGCAACTTTTTGATCGATAATATATGTCTTAACAAGTTGAGCTATGGTTGGTTTGATTTTTCTAACACCCAAATGGTGCTATTTTCTTAAGAAGTTATATTCTCTTTCATTTCACCATCGCGTTACCACCGGAGTCGAGTCACTCTTTAACTCCTCTTCTGGATTGGATTTCTTTTGTTATTTTGATATTTCCATCCATGTTTTTAGCAGTAAATATTTCTAATTAAGCTTGTGAATGATCAATTTCCTGGGAATAGATTAATTTACATAGGTGATAGATAACACATAAAATAACTTTTGAATCTATCTTGAAACCAAACAAAGGCTTATAAATGTGAAGGAAAATGAAGATTCGATCAAAGAAGATGAAAAGAGAGGGCTACCTCATTCTGCCCTTGAAATCCAAACAATTATCTCCTAATGGAACTTCTCCCCGGTGCTTATCATGAATATTTCCATTTTCTATTCAACTCCTAATGTATCTAATATCAAAATCGTCACATCATTAATAACTTTTTTGAAGTTAAATTGTAAGTTTGGTCGGTGTCATTTAGTTTTTATATTTTTTAGATATAAAAACTTTTTAAATAGGTTTCTAAGTTTTCGGGATTGTTTATTTAATATTTAAATTGCTAGTTTGTATTTTACAGGCTTCTATCATTAAATCCATCAATTCAATATTTTTTTAAAGTACATTAGAGAGATTCGAACTCACGATCTTTTAGTCGAAAATAGGTGTCTTGACCTATCAGCGTCTACTTTCTCTTAAGGTTTCCACACATAATGTTAGTGGTTGGAACCTACTCATTCATGAAAGTTTACAAATCTAATAGATTTTTTATTTTCTATTAAGAATTTCAAGGAGTTGAGTAATTCGAATGAGATTTTCAAAAGATAATTTAACTCTAATTAAGATTGAATTTAAATGTCAATAGCTCAATTTTAAAAAAAATAATATAAATAGCTCAATTTCAAAGAAATATAAATAAAATGTCGATATCAATTAATATTTTTATAAAAATTATAAAAATAAAAATAAAAACTCTCATAGTACAATGCCAAGAACTATGCTCGTTGGACTCCAATGATATTATGCCTATATTAATGGTATTTTTTATATTTTGTTAATTTTTAACGATACAATACAAATATTGAATGTCATTCAACCCTCGACTTCAATGAGAATTTCCTTATTTCCTTTGAAAATTTCGTAAACGGGAAATTTTTTTTCTATAAGAATCCAACAGGACTTCCCATCCTTGGTTGAGAAATGCCCCATCCTAGTTCCAATGAACGACTGTAACTGCTGTCTAAAATGGTGAAAAAAAATCAAAGATCCTTTAAATTTGGTATTCTTCTTCCATTTTACTCACTTTCATGTTCATCATCCTCTAACATGGCAATAATACAAATAAAAAAACTTATTTCCTTTTTCAAAAAAGAAAATAATAATGAAAGAAAAGAGGATCTTTTTTTTTTCTAACGTACAACAAAACCATCAGAAAGATTTTGACAACAAAATTACAGGCAATAGATAAGAACTCATTGCCCAAACGATTTCCAGCGATCCCGAGCTATGGTGCTCAGGCAATACCCATAGGTTCGTCATCCTAGTCTCAACCGTTCAAGGGCTTTAACCGTGTATGTCTCTGCAACACAATCTTTTGGCTTGGTGCCATGCTGAATGACAAGAATCTTCCATGATATTAACTTGTTCCTTTCTTGGTGCTTGTCGAGCAAAGATACCGAAGCAAATACTCATTCGACGAACACATATCAGCCAAATCCTGATGTGTTCTGGTGATGGCCATTTGCAAGGATTTCAAGGCAGGAAGTAGGCTTCTGGAATTTTGTTGAATGTGGTTACCATGAGCTTTGCAAAGTTCCTGAGGGAAAAAATGGTGAGTTGAGTTGAATCACTTCTACGACAACTAAAGCTCAGAGACAATATCGCCATACAAATTGGGATCTTAAAAGAAACTACCTGACACCATCGTAGAACAAACTCCAAATGCGGGCAACTTTCCAGAAGTTCCGCTAATGCCTCGACTAACCTCTGCAAATATCTATGCGGGATCGATTTGATTACTCCTGCTATATCCACAGGATTCACAGAGAATATGCATTTCTTTATTAAAGAATCCTCATTTAATCGTAAGCTAAGAATCATGGCCCTGATCGGCTGATCTTCATCAAGTGCAGCATTGATCGCCTGCAAAAACATTAACCAGTTTTAATAAATAAAAAAGACCGGTTATAGAAAAAGATAAATGGTCCAACACAATTATTCATAACTTCTAATTTTAGTTAGAAACGAGCCAGAAATATCTTCTTTCCTTTCAAGTTTTGTCTGTGTATGCTATGCAATAAATATATTTATTACCTCTGGCGTAACATCAATGTCGAGATCAGTTGGATCGAAGATAAAAGATTCATCAATTGAATAAATAAGAACTCCCTCCGTTGTCGATGCTGCAAAATTTCGACCAGTAGGTGCGATTCTCAAGGATTTTGTTCGCACAACTGGTCTACCACGATTGAGCATGGACCCAGGTAAATCATAGCCTAATTTCTTCCGTGTTTGTTGATCAACCCCTTCTTCTACATCACTGTCATTGTCATCAATCAAATCTAACGGGCCAGCCTCTGTCATATTCTTTGAATTTAGAACGTCAAGAACTCCATCTAAAGAGAGATTATGTGTTATTTGAAACCTGCGTAGCAGCACCTGAGAAGGAAAATACAATATATAATGCCGAATTCACAACATTATGCAACAAGAAAAATGTGGGCAAACGACAAACAAACGACAAGCATAGAATTTAGCAGTAGTTGCACACATTTCGAAGTATAGTTTTATGAAGCAATAGAATCTAGGAAAGACATGTTCTTCTCAAGACATAAAACATGAATCAACAAACAAGCCAACCTACTTATATTTTTCAATACAAAGCGAAGTTTATCTTGTGCCCCATATGGAACATGTTGACCTTGACAATTTCCAATCAAACAAACAGATAATATATGATGTTTCTATTCGCATCAGAGACAAAATCAGTGCTTCTGAGGCTTGAACTAGTTAAACGATTGTAAATCTGATATTCGAAATTCAGTGGTTTAACGTAATATAATGAAAGGCATTTAGTAAGAAGCCACAAATAAAAATAAAAGCATACAAACTGACCTGATCAGCAATGTCGTACATACAGATATATTTACTGCAACCCCCAGCTAATATGTAACTCCCATCAGCAGAATAACATAATGTTGTGAAGCACTTTCCTGAACTCGAAGTAGCGGCAGATCTTCTATCAGTCATTAAACGTCCTCCAGCAATGTCCCTACGCCCCTCAATTGTATACATCAATAACCCATCAACCGGATCCCAGAAGTGGATCTGACCATCTAATGTACTGCAGGCCAACTGCCTTCCATCTGGACGATAAACTACCGTAAGAACATCATGCATATGATTGAACGTTTCAACAGCCCCTTTTCCTTCAAAGACATCCCACAAGCGGACAGTTTTATCCCATGATGAAGAAGCTAAGACTGCCTATATAATAGTCAAACAAGGTATTTGGCATTAGGAAAAGGAAATAGTAATCAACCTCTAATCTTTATTGTTCATTTCTCGAGAACATAAAAGCACGGAGAAGAAGATGAACACAATCGAAGCAAATAGATGGAGGAAAAATCTAGCATGAATAGACATAAAGTAAAACACTATTTTAGAATCAGAAATTTGAAATGTGAATGGATGTGTCCGTGAACTCACATTCGTAGGAGAAAACATCAATCCGTGAACAGGACCTTCATGCCCACTAAGGATATCCAACAAACGGCCAGTCTTCATCGACCAAACAAAAATCTGCAAAGCATACGAACTTTTAGACAGGACTTAAACATAAAGCTAGAAGGAAGTACTCATATTCCAAGAAAGGTCATGAGGATACCTCAAATGAATCTAATGTTCCAGCACAAACAACTTCACCACTCTGATCTACTGCCAACGAAACAAATTGCCGGGAAGTAGGGGAGGTAAAGGTTCTAAAATTTCGATAGCGAAACAAGTCCCATGCACGAACAGTGCCATCAAGGGATGCACTCAAAAGACAGTGGTTATTCGCCAGAAAATGGAGAGCAGTAACAGCATTTGTATGCTCAGAGAATGTAACAAAGCAGAAGCCCGATTGAACTGTCCACACCTACACCAAACAATTAACACAAGTTTGTTCATCCATCAACAAAAAAATATTAAAAGAAGCTCAAAAAAAATCATCACCATACAGCCTAACCAATGACGGAGAACTTGTTATTGGAAAATAAAGCATAGGTCACTAGACTACATAACCGATAAACTAGTTCACAAGGTTTAAACTTTCTGATCGTAAAAATCTACTGTCTTCATTTTGGAAGGTTGTAGCAGAATCTAGTTTTAGGTATTCATCATTTTTTTTCTTTTTATATTCGTGAGTGTTTGGGCCAAATTACGCACACACTAATCTCACAAGGCAACAGTCTGACCCTACAACATTTGACACCGGAAAACACATAGGAATTACTAATTCCTAAGGTAGGTGGCTATCATGGGGTTTTAGTTATTCATCATAATTGAAATCAACGATCTGTTGCATCACGCTAATAAACTTTGAAAGAGAAAAAAATACATCCTTTAACATGTTAAGTTACCTTGACTTTGTTATCGTCTGCTCCAGTAGCCAATAGTTGTGAATCTGGAGAATAAGCAAGACAATTAACATCAAAGTAATGTCCCTGCTGTTTCAATATGTAACTCTCTGACCGCCATTCCCACACTAGTAACTGGCCAAGTTTTGCACACCCAAATGATAACCAGTTGCCATGCTGATTGAAAACGGCTGCAGTAATTTTCTCTCTTGATATTGACAACATGTGCAAGCACACAAAATCCGGCATCTGATACAGCCCAAAAACGCCATTTGAGAACCCGACAACCACCATATCAAGGTACCTTTGATAATCACACGCAGTCACCCTCGCCGGAGCCTGAGAAAAACAATCCTTCCTCACTATCTTCCATTTTTCTCTAAGCAAGTACTCAACTTCATCATCCACATTACCGTCACCATAGTTCTTCCTCTTCTTTACACTAACATCCCCACCACTCTCCATATTTCTTTCACTATCCCTCCCAGGAGTCCCTGGTGAAGGCGGTTCTGAATTATAGACTTCCATTTCATCCAAATTACTCTCTGCAATCCCCCAAATAAACATATAACAGTCACGCGTAATTGTGTAAACCTTTACTACCTTATTTGTTTTCTTATCAGTCCCAAAAAACGAACCTACAATTGCGTCCCTATGACCCAAAAATAAGTGTGGCTTGTACTTATTCCCGCTTAATTTCTTCACAAAAATCAACCTTACGCTTAAATCCTTAGACCCAACAAGCAAGTAATTAGCGTCTGGACTCCAGTCCAAAGCCGTAACTTTATCATGACAATCAGCAAAAGTTCGTACCAGTTCAAAAGGGAAAAATTCTTTGTTGAACCCCGGTGACCGCCAAATTTGGACCAACTTCCCAGTCCCAACGGCAATAAACGCACCATCGGGGCTAAATTTGACGACATTGACCGGCTTCTTGAAGGAAATACGGTGAAGCACCACTCGGCGTCGGAGATTGATGAAGAGGCAGCGGTTGTTCTCGTCGATGGTGAACAAGAATAAGCCATCAGGAGAAACGGCGATTCGGCAAATATTGGACGAGGATTGGACGGGAAGAGTCACCGTATGGGACTTCACAAGGTCGGTAACGGAGACCCGATTACCGACGGGTGAGATTAACAGCGTATCCTCTGAAATCACAACATTTCCTCCTCTGTAAGGCGCTCCTAACAGATTTTGAAATCGGTAGTTCATGGCCGGCAGCTGCTACGTTTCCGCCGGGAAAGTTTCGGCCAAATCTCCCTTCTTCTAAATTGTCAGATTGAACCAGCAGGGTTTATCCAGGGTTTCCGTTTTGTCGTTTTGGGCCGAAAGAAGTGAAGCCCAATAATTTTAGGCCCATTAGAGTGGGCCAATACCATGTGAAAAAAATTAGATAATACCTTCTTTTAAAATCTTATTCACAAATTTTACAGTTTTTCTTTTTTAAATACCGATTTTACCCTTATTTATTATATATACTTTTATTATAGTTTTTTATTATTTTGAAATTTAAAATATTTAATTCCATAATTGTAATCATATTCCTTTAATTATTATGGACCCACATAAATTTTCAACACTAATCCCTTAATTCACCCCTTCAAAAAAGATTTTTTTTCCTATAATTTTCTATTATTATTAATTAGAAAAATATCCAATTTTGATCCAACAATATTTTTTCATATGATTTTTTCCGTGTGAAGTTCTCACGCAATTGACCACTTCAGTTTGAAATTGTTTGATTAAATTACATTGGAGCCAACCACACTATCAACTTTAGGATTTTCTTTCACAAATCCATGATGGTCTCATAGCTAAATAAAATAGCTAGAATTATGTATAAGATATATACCACATATACAATATATTCTAATATTTACAATATATGCTGCTTCAATCAATATATTCTCATATACGATATATTCTCATATATTCCCATATATACAATATACGGTTATAACATATATTCTACTTGTACTTTTGAAATCTACTATTATTCACGATGTAATTAACATTATGTATATGTCTTTTAAATAAGATCTAATTTACATATCACGTATTATTATAGAATATTAACAATTAAATATTCATTTGTATATTTTTATGATATAACGTATATACCGTGAAGACTTTTGCATTTAAATATTATTATGGATACGGTTAATATAATTTATATACCTATTAATATTGTTTTATAACTTACAAACTATGTATTATTCAAACTTATAGAGAATAATTTGATATCAATGTCAATGATTTGTATTTCTATGAATATTATGGAAGTAAATGTATACACTATAAGATATATCCCCATATATCCCCATATATCTCCGTATATACTGATGACAAAGCGATGAAATCAAACTCACTATAAGATATACACTAGTTCACACCTACATTATTGGAATGAAAAATATATCATGGTGAGACAAAACTACTTTCCAATCGGCGAGATGAAGGAGACGACGAACAGAGACGAAGGAGCGCAGACGGCGAATGGAGACAAAGGAGCGCAGGCGGCGGATGGAGATGAAGGAGCAGACGGAAATCGAACGAGAGAGGAAGAATAGAGGACTGCTTTGACGATGAAGAATAATGGAGACGATGACCGGAGACGAAGAACGTTGACGAAGCCGGAGATGGAGGAATGCAGACGGTCGAAGACGAAGAAGACAAGTCGGAGAGAAGGAGCGCAGACGGCCTGAATGGAGGAGCGCATACGGCCGAAACGGAGCAGTCTTCGAACAAAAGAGGAAGAAGAAAAATCGGAGAATGAGGGGTTTTCAAATTTTTTCCATTATGGAAGATTTTGGGAATTTGGTTAGTATTTTGGAATTTAGTATTTTTTACTTTTGGAAAGTCTAATTAGGTCAAATTTAAGGGATTTAAATTGTAACCTCCCAATTTACCAATTTTAGATTTTAAAAATTAATTAATATTGAAGCATAGACACAAAGGGTATACTAGTAAATTGGGTGATGGATACCATCTTAAATTGAGTTGTTTGTGTAAATTTTATACATTCAATCATTTTATGTAATTATGATCTAGTCTATCAATGTACTAATCCAAAAAAATTAGGTCAGAGTCCTAATTATAGTTAATAACAGTACACCGAGTTTAAATTGCAACAATTTTGGATCAATTGCCAAATTTCAATGTGAGAGTGAATTACTCTTCATTTAAATTTGATATGAAAATCTACTATTTTCTTTAATTAATGGAACTAAAAAAAATATGCAAATTAGTAAAAGATATACATTATTTAAATAATTAAAGATAATAAAGATTAAAAGATAATGCCAAAGCGAGTGCTCAGCCTGAGTTACGTGTGACTGTTATATGTTTGGAGAATGATGAAGAGGGAGGAGAGAGAGAATAGGGAATGAGTAGGGGAAGACTGAAGAGAGAGAGAAAAATAAAGAAAAAATGGGAAAAAAATGATACATAATTAAAAATAATATAAAATTAATATATATCAAACTCATAAATGTCACATCAGCATCCCGTTAGTGTTATTTTGTTAACATCAGAAACTTAGAACAATTTTCTAAAAGTCGGAGATAAATAGAAATCTACCTTCAAACTCAATGTCCAAAAATGTATTTTACTCTAAAATATAAAGTTTTTTTAGTGAGGTATAAAGATTTGTTATGATAAATATACTGTAGAATCATATTAATTTTGAAAGTAACCATAAAAATTTCAGATTACTATAAAATAATTATTTTCTTAACAAAATACATATAAAATATTTAGATATATATATATATATATATATATATATATATATATATATATATATTTTGGGACAAAAGATAAAATGAAATATTATAGGATAGATATATAATTCAACCTTCAATTCGAGAATAAATAAGATATCCTAACTTTTAAGTCAAATTCATATAAACAATGACAAAAGTAATTTTGGTCCTGTTGGATTTTGTAAGGAGTCCAAACAAAGTCACATATTGGCTAATGAAGAAGTAATCAATGGTATATAGAAAAAAAAGACAATTATCTCTTTTTGCGTGAAATCAAAAGCAAAGCCGTGAGGAATATGCCTAAAACAGACAATATCATACCATTGTGAAGATATTCGTGGTACGAAGGGTATCGTCCTTAACAGTCTCGCTAAATCACTTTTAATCACTTTTAGATATGTTCGACAATGATATATAAGTTATTTTAGGAAAAAAAAATAACTCTTTGATTTTATACTATACAAATATGTCTTTACTACTTTTGGATTTTATCCTCTACAGTACCAAATATCAACTTAAAACTTAGTTTTAGTTTTTACTAAAAAAAGAAATAAATAAACAATAAAAAGTTTAGTTTTAGTCTAGTTCCTTTAGTTTTATAATTTCATTTCAATCCGAACTTAGTTTCAATTTGATTTCTAACATTCGATTAAATTGTCTCATAAATAATCTTTAAACTATTTTTTTACCTCCTGACATTCTACTCATTTTTCTTTTTCTTTTATTTTTTATACTTAGACTCAATCATAGCTATCACAATCATCCAAATATAGAAAAGAAAAAAAATACTAGTTAATTGTTAGAAATAAAATAATATATCACATATTTAATATGACAATAGTAGGAAAGATAGATGACATTTAACTAAATAATAGGAACGAAATTGGACTTTATAAAACCATAGAGATTCAGTTGAAAAATATGCTAAAACTATAAGAACAATTTGTATTTTTGAAAATAGGTTTAAATTACATAATGTTGGTCCTATAGTTTTGACACATAGTTTTAATCTGGTCCTTGCAATTGGAAATTTACGATTGAATCTATATAGTTTAAAAGTTTCAATTTAGTTCACATGATTTTCAAAGTTTCAATTTTAATTTTCGTAAAACTTACATGATTCACTTGGAGACTATGTCAAATCTTTTGAAAATATTAAGAGATCTCACTCAAGATCAGTATATAGCTTCTAGAATTGTATAATTGAAAACACCCTCGAACGGACCAAATTGAAACTATCAATACTAAAAAAAAAAATTAAAATTACGGCATTTTGTAATTTAACCAAAAATATATATTTCAATTGACAAACAGACCCAACCCAACGAGGATCATCTAATAGAATAGAGTTATTAGGTCAAAGAGAAAATTGACCAAAGTCAACGGGAAAGAAAAATGAATACTAGTGTTGTATGGTATGGGTTAGTTTAGTGTAGAACCCCATAACAATCGGATTTAAATCTTATAAACAGAATGGCGTATCTCGTTTCTCTCTACAAAATCTCCATTCTTGTTTCAGTTTCATTAGTTTCAGTTCATACTCAGATTTCGCTCTCCAACATGAACTCTTCTCCGCCTCCTGCTTCGGGCCCATCCTCTTCCGCCGTACAAGTAAACCAATTCCACTTCTTCTAATCTAATTAATTACTCTGTTTTCTTTTTCTTTTCGATTGCGTTGCTGCATTTGATGCGATTATTCGATTTTGCGATTGGAATGTGATATCTAGGGATTTTCAAATTTCCAGTTCTTGTTTCGATTGATATAATTCAATTCTCTGTTCGTGTTTGAATCCAATTGTAGGACTCGAGTTACTTGGATTTCTGTAACAGCCTTCGTCCTATTGAAACTCTTCTGTTAGAGCCGGAATCGAACGGAAACCAGTCTCGTGAGGGTGAAGATATGGAAACGGAATCCAGTTTCGTTGAAAGGTAAAATCTCCCGCGCACCTCTTCGATTCTTTCATCAGTTTCAAAAAGAAAAACAAGAATAAATCTTTTTTTTTTCCTCTAATTTTCATCGACGATTTTGTTTCTCAGTTTTCTTCTACCTTTTCCAATTTGGCGATTTTTTCCCTCCCTCATTCCTGGTCCTCCTATACGATTTCTTATTTTAATTTTGTTTCTCTCAGTTTTTTCTCCTTTATTCCTCAATTTACAGAGAAGCGATTCGAGCCCGAGGGATTGTGTATCTTGTTTATTATTTTTTAAAAATATTCACATTTGCGGTTTTGCTTTTTTTGATGGCTTTAATCTATAATCAATTCCTATACTTGCACTCCTTGCAATCCCAACATATAATTTCCTTATTTATCATCTTCTAAAAATTTTACTGGTAACATAAATCTCCTATTTTGCCCTAGTAACCAGTTAGTATTATTCTTTTTCGTTCTTTTCCCCTTGGGCATTCTCACATTTTAGAAACAATAATTTTGTTAAACATAAACCTATAATTTACTTATTAAAAAAGTAATAAAATTAAAAAAGTTTAATTTAAACATAATAATTTTGAGTACTTTATTTTTAAAAAAAATAATTTTCATGAAAAGGATTATTTTTGTCTCTCTTTTCTATACTCTCCGTGTGTGAAAGAACAAGAAATAAAAACTAATTATCAAATACTTTTTTTCTTTTATTTTTTTAATAATTTTACTAAATATTATCTATACTGGTCCTCAGCAGGGGTAGAATCGGAATTCCAAATGTTGACTGCGAAAACAACACTCATTCGAGTGATCCTCACAAAGAGGACCGCATAGAGAAAATGCCATCGTTGGAAGATTGTGAAGAAATTTCCGATAAAAATGGTAATACAAAGTCTGACATAAGCACTTTTTAGATACTTTTTTCATAAAATGCTTAAAATGGTTTTACATTTTAGAAAGTGATTACATTTTATTATTCCAAAAGTAGTTTTTGATGAATAACATTGCAAATCCCTTTTAACTAAAATTGATTTTAGAAAAGTTTAGAATTACAGCTGAATTTATTTTTCAAAAATAGTTTTGAAAAATCAAATATATTAATCTTTTTTCCAAAATCACGGGTTCTAACCCAAACATTAACCCACCCTAACTTTAGTCATAAAAATCGATTGAGAAACTCTGACAAACACTGAAAATATATATTTTTCAAACGGAAAAAAAAAACACTGAAAATATATTTTAAAATATGAAATTTTCAGAGGCATGCAACAAAGTGAAAGGTGAAAAAACTGTAGAAGCACTTCTGTTGGAAGGTAATAAAACTGTAGAAGCACTTCTATCGGACAAAACAGTGTCTACAGAGGAGGTAAAGTTGGAGTTAACTGAAGTTATTCACCCATCTCACAAAAGCTCTGAGTGTCTCGAGGTAAATTGCTTGTGTATATATTTTTGTTTTTTTTTAATAAGAAAGTAAGATAGAAATTTAATTTTGGTTATCTTAACAGCCACATTGATAAATTAATTAGTTGTTATATTGTAGAATGCTGCTGGTGTTGAATACCAAATCTCGGATATTTCGAAACTAAACCCGGAGGAGAATTTGCGGGCTGCAAGTTCTGAAAAATTATCTGGGGAATTTGATAAGGTGTAAATATAATTTTTTTTAATATTTTAATTATACTTCAATTTGTTCATAACAATTATGAATTACTGTAGATGTCTCCGTTTGAGAGGGGAGACATGATTGAGTTGATCAATAAGGTCAAACCAACTGGAAGAAAGAGGTCTAATTTTCTTCCTTCGGTATTTTTCATGAGTTTTTTTTTTACCATTTTTTGAAATGGGTTTTTTAAATTGCCATGATTGCAGGAAGAAATCAGAACACATGGGCGAAAATAAAAACGAGAAACGTTGCAATTGCAAGAAATCGGGGTGCCTAAAACTGTAAGTGAAGATTAGATGATTAATGTAAAAAGTTTTGTATCATTTTTCTTATTTTTAATATTTATTATGCATTTTATAAGTCGAAAAGAAAAATATTTACTTTTCAACAATATTTTTATTTATATTCTTAAAAATGTTGGAAATGAGTAAGAAACAAAGAAATTTAATTTTTGTTGTACACAATTTTAGAAACGTTTCTTATGATGGAGAAACTAAAAATAAAGGACCAGTTTGGTAACGTTTCCATTTCTTGTTTCTTGTTTCTAATTTTCTTAAGAAATCTAAAATTTTACAACTAACTTTATTTTTTGTTTGTCTATCATTCCTCAATTACATAGAAGAATTTGGAAAGAACCAAAACAAAATTATCCTTTCTTGTTCTCATTTCCAATTTATTTCAAAACATAAATAAAATATTGTTTTATCATTTTTGAATTATTGAACGTTGTAATCATACTATTCATCTTTATTCATTAAAAATAAAGAAATTCAAAGAAACAGGAACAGTAACCCTACAATTTTTTTTATCGACGATCCTTAATTAGAAGAGGCATGAGCCTTTAGTTTCTACAGGTGTGAAAAGCATTTGTATTGCATTTTAACTTGTTTTTTAATTGCAGTTATTGTGAGTGCTTTTCAGCTGGTGTTTATTGTGGAAATTCTTGTGGCTGTAAAGATTGCATCAACAAAATTGAATATGAGGATAAAGTTAAGTCTGTAAGTCGCCAAATTCAATCAAAAAATGCCTTTGCTTTTGCTCCAAAGGTCACGAGGCAATCACTTGATTTTCCAACAAGAGTTATGGTAAATCCCTCCTGCACTTTCTTTATAATGATATTATTCCTAACTTAAGTACATCGTGTTAATATAAATACTATAAAACGCTATCTTAAGTAGTAAGTAAGATTGAAATCTTGAGTATCGATCGAGTCTAAACATCTTTAATTTTTAATTAAATTAAGAGCTATACTTCTTGGACAATTTATAATGGTTAGAAAAGATCAATAGCATAGGTAGAGCATTATTATTTTTACTATTAAGACATTAAAAAAATATGTAAGACAAAATTTAGAGATTAAGACGATTCTATTAGTGAGATTAATGGCAGAAAACTATCATAAAACATTTCATCTAAAAGTTTGAGAATTGAGATATCTTTTATATTTATATATAAAAGTTTTGTATAATTGTTAGGCTTGTCCAATGCTTAAACTAAAATTTTAATGATTTCGATTAATGTATTCCGATATACAGGTGGAAGAGAATTGTACAACTTCATCTTTACATAGACATAAAAAAGGATGCAAATGCAAGAAGTCAATGTGTCATAAAAGATATTGCGAATGCTTTCAGGTATGTTTTCAGTCTCTAGTTTTTTTTTTTTTCTCTTTTTAACCTTTTTGGTACATGTTTAGAAAAAGAGAAAAAAACACTAATGTTTTCCATAATACCTTCTAATTTCAGTCTGATTTTTGTATCACTAGGCCGAAGTTGGTTGTACATCAGCATGTCTTTGTGAAAATTGTCGCAACACTTTCGGCACAAGAACAGGTTCGACTTATAAATTATTTTCTATGCTTATTTTTCCTTGAGTATTGCTCTAATTTTTCTTTGTTATATGATGCTTGATTTTCAGATTTAGATCAAAACACTGGTGATGAAAGGACAGATGCTGCTGCTGAAGCTGAAGCTCAAGATTACACACAACTCGCCAACAATTTCTCATCAACCTATGCAAGCAATTTTAGTGGAGCAGCTCCAACTTCAAATTTAACCAATAATCCAAATGGGTGTCCTGAATCTCCCTTTGGCAGTTTTTCATCCACTGTTTCTGATCCTCTTAGTTGGAGGAGCCCCCAGTCCTCTGTTGAGATTGCCAATAATATGGACTGTTCTTATGGCCCAACTTCTTCTTCTAATACCCTTCTCTTTGAGATGATGGCACGTAATAATGGGAATGGATGTCATGATCAAGCTCTTCCCATGGCTCCTTTTTCAGCTTCTAATATTGGATCCCTGAGATTTGCCTCTTTTGCTGCTGCCAGATTGATGGTCCCACCTATGAATCAGCTCTTCGGGTCGATGTCATATGTTCGACAAGGATTGAACGTGAATCCACAATCGAATTTAAGAGGTAGTCAACAATTTGTCCGACAGATCATTCCTACCTTCGCTTCACATTTTACTCGCATGAATTATAATAACGGTTCATCTCACAATGGAAGTGATCATAACAATTTTAACAGTGGTCAGTAGGGTAGTTTATATATAATAGGATAGGGTAATATAGAGATGGTTATACTATTTTTGTAGGAAGCATTTTGAATGCTCAAGAACTTGAAATGGCTTTTAAATTATCAGGTAAGTTTGTAATTAGTTTAATTGATAAATTTTGTTTAGTGTGTACAAAGTTGCATTGAACTCAATTATATTTATATCCTCTTGTTTTAATTGCTTATATCTCCTACTTGGCTCCAAAACTTTGGCATTTTTTTAAATTTATTTATGTTTTTTGTTTCTCATTTGAGAAACATTCTCAAAATTGAATAGAAATTTTGAAAACAACAAAAATAAATTTATTATTTCTTCTCCCATCAACGAAAATAAGAAACGATAACATTGTTAAATGGACATCTCTCAATTCCATATTTGTTAAATTAAAATAAAATAAATAATAGAGATATATTCTTTTTACAAATTTGGAAAAAGTGTTTTTTTATACATATAATGAAAAAAAAATATATCATGTTTTCTTACCCTATTCACCAATTTTTTTTTTCTAAAAAAAAATGGTCTGAAACTAATTTCTAAATTCAAAGTTATTATTATTATTATTTTTTAATATATGAATATATATATTTTAATACAACATGACGAAGATCCAAACTCACGACATTTTATGTAGCTAAACTCAAATAGGTTTATATGAATATTATTTTATGGATTATAAAAATAACAATGAAAATTGATTTTTTTTTTTAAACCACAACATTATCTATAATCTAACCTCTTTATAAATTAAAAAAAAAACCCTATTTTTTCATAAATTCTCCTTCCATGTGTAAAATAAGGGAGAGAATGAAATATAATGATGGGGAGGTTTTTTGCCAAATTTAAGTGTAATTGACACGCGTCTCTGAGTTCGAATCTCTACCCAACTAATTATATAAAAAAATGATTAAGATAACATGTACAGTAAGAATTTTGGTGAGAAATTGGTCTGCAACTAGTTACACTAAACTAAAAAAGAAAAAAGAAAAATGAAGAGCAGTAGTTGAAGGAGAAAAGAAATAAAATCATAATCATAATTCATAACTATCATAATATTACCAAAAAGAAAACAAATAACAGACACCTAAAGTGAAAATGAGCTCAACTATGGGGTACTACAAATTTTTATAAAAAAGAAAAACTAATCCAAAATTTTTATTGGGAACAGAGAAGTTGAAAAGGGAATGGAAGTTTCTCTCTATACCAAAAGCCCCATGCCCCATTCTCTACCATGGCCTACTACTCGAAGCAAAAAAAAAGCATAAGCTTTTTTCTTCTTCTTCAACTTTATTGTCCTCTTTCTTCTCAGCTTCAGCTACTGTTGGAAAATGGTGTTTTCTGAATGCTTAGCGATAGCCCTCAAGGCCCAGCCTTGAGTTCAGCCAACTGCACACTTCGTTCATCTCTTTTGGGACTGTGTAATGCCCAAGCCTGCCCACAAGTAATCAATCAAACACTCTTTCTTAGATTTAAGCCTTTTGATTTGCTTCATTTTTCATATTGATTGTTCAGTTTTATGGATTTCAAGAGAGGAATAGAGTAGTACCCTTCTTGGCTTTTGAAAACAAGGGTTCTAAACCCAGCTGAGGTCAATGCTTGGGCTGATTTCTCTCCATACTTGGGAGGGACTACCTCATCAGCTGCATTTTGGTTCATAATGGTTAACAATGTTTCACTAAATAAACCCACCAAGAGAAAAACACTAAAGAATCTTTAAGGTTGTCTCAGAGTTGTTCTGAAAAACAGTGATGAAATCTTGAAACATGTTTGGGTAATATAGAACAACGGTAGTTGTCCTTTTTTCTTTTCTTTTTCCACTTTCGGATTTGGCTTCTTAACAGCCGCTTATTTTCTCAAATGGTCACTTAAAACTGTTGAGAATCAATATTTTCTCAAATGCTGGGTTATATATTGAAATCATAAACTTTGTCAGAAGAATCATTATTCTGATGGTTGAAATCTTCAATTTACTCTAAACAAAAACATTAGCATATGAGGTTTTAGAGACCTACATGTTCCATGAAACTGTAAGATAGGGATCGATGCCGCCCGCCTTGCAGCCTCGTGTGATGCTTCAAATTTGTTCCTTAAGCTCCTACATACAACATTATCTTAACATATATTATCTCTATATGAACACTTTTAATTCATAGAGCTAGATTTATTCCCCAAAAAAACATACCTTGACCCAGGAAGCCAGCCACTAAGTCCAACAACTGCCCTTAGGTAGATGGGGTATGGGACTCCATTCCCATATTTTCCAAGAGCACAGCAAGTTGCAGAGTAAAGTGCCATAGCAGCTCCCATACTGAAGCCTCCAATCCCAACTTTCACTGTCACAAATAATTGAAGTGAAGAAATTTATTCTCCATCAAGTTGGAGAACAAATATTTTGATATACTTATAAAGATTGACATATTGTTAATAGTTTTGGGGATTGAAGTTTCTGTTCTTTTGGCTTCAGTATTCACTTGAGATATTTGACAGCTTAACATGCAAAAAATTTACCATCAGATGGCTCTGCAGACAGCAAGTTTGCAATATGAGAAGCTGAGGCATCAAGACCTTCCCAATCATCTGGACCTTCTTCTGAAAGCTCTCCGACATCAAACCCTGATAAGAATCATATGGAACACTTTTAGATAATAATTTTTCAGAAACAAACCACTGAAAGAGATATGGGCATGGGAATGAAAAAGTTGAGAAAAGTAGAAGTTTGTTGATCTGACATGCAGTGCAAGGGAAGCCTCCGAGTAGAGATACCGGTTGAGTTGGAGCAGTTGGACAAATCCATTTGATCTGTATATTTGAAAGAAATGATGATCAGTATGGGAAGAAAGCCAGGAGAGTAAGCTAAACATGAAAGCATGACCATTTGATGGTATGAAATTATATTTCTTACGTTTGGAAGAGGAAGGCTTTCCAGGAGTTGAGAAGAGCTGCAAGTTTAAGCAGAGAAAAAAAAATAAAGCAAGAAAACAGAACTTGTCAGATTGGATATTAGCTAAAGAATCTTCAAATTAAAGCATAAAACCACTAAGAAAACACCTTGGAGAAGTAATCTTATTTTCTTTTCAACTTTACGAGGTTTAGCAAGTGAGTTTCTGGTTTTTAAAGATGAAATTGATAGAAAAAGGGAAAAGAAACCCCAGCACAAAATATATAGGAAGATTGCAAGTACTATAGAGGGCCCTATCCTGTCTGGGGAACCAAGTAAAATAATCATATACCTTTTCCAAACCATGGTTCCCAAATAAACTTAATCATAAGATCAGACAAGAAGTGGAAAAGCAAAGTTTAACATTTATTCGTACCGTTTCTACGGCGCCGTTACTTTTTCACATTTCATTAACACAAGGAAAGAATATGAAGATGTTGACATTCTTAAACTACCTTTTCCCTTTTTCGTTTGGCTTAGGAAACAAAGGTTGGCAAGAAACCCTTCTTATTGAAGGTAGAAATGTACTTTGTTCAAAAGGGAAAGGAATATAACTGTCCACTCCGTSTTGGAAAGCTAGTAAAATAAACATCCAATATAGACAGTCACAAGTTAAAACAAATCTTGGTGCTATGCTAGCTTCAATGAAACTATTCAAACAATAATCAAACATGCTGGATTATTCGAGTATGTATTGTACAGTTTTAGATAACTCAGATTCTTATATGAATGCAGGAACTTGAATGGATTTAAGCCCCATTTGAAATCATTTAATATGGAGTTGAGCATGTAGGGAACAAAAAAGAGGCATTACCTAGAGCCATTATCACCAAGGCCATGTAGCCAAACAATAGTAGCCTGGTGTTTTCCTTTGGGCCTCACAACATGTGTCCTTCCAAACTCTAATGACCTTCTAGCAGATGATCTACTGCCTGCAGTTTGGCCACTAGAATGTGTGACTTCTCTTAATCATAGATAGAACAAAAAAAACTACGGTGGGGCGCACACAAGAGGGACAAAGGAGATTTCGTTTGCTGGTTAACAAAAAAAGAAAAAACAGACTCAAGCAAATGTGTGATTATGGATGGAGAAAGAAATGAGAAGTAATGTGAAAAATAAACAAACCAGAGCTGATATTTGAATGTGAATAGCTCATTTTCAAAGTTGTAACTTGTAACAGCTGCAATTAAGAGGCTACTTGAGAGTATATGCAATGACCCAGAAGTGTAATATGCTGTGATGTAGAAAAACAACAATGGAAATGTCTATTTATAGGAAAACTTGGGTGATGTGAAAGTGGGAATAAAATGTGGGAGAATATGAATCACTATGCTAGTGTGGTGTGTACACCAGCTGCACATTACACCAAATGGCCAAGAAATTCAGAAAGGGAGAGGCATCTGTGAAAAGGAGAGGTAAAGACAAGGACAAAAGCATGAAATCTTTTTATGAACACAAAGAATCCCAGCAGGCAGAGCACGTTCATCCATCCGCAGGGCTCCCAGCTAGGAGAGAGAGCTCTGGATATGCAAAATAGAGAGAATCTATGCTTGTGGGCACTGGGCAGCGGCCAGAAAATAAAGCAAACTCCAATAACAAACTTCAAGAATATTACTAGAAATAACAGAGAATAACCTCTCAGTTTGTCCAAGGAAATATCTTTTATGAATCATTTTTAATGAATTTCTGATGGATACCATTAACCAGAAAGCGAAGTTGGTTCAGCTGTCCAATCTATCTAATTTTAAGCAGCAAGAAATATCTAAAAATTGCAGTGCTAAGGAAATTTTATCTTATATTCTGCATTTATATTTTTTATACTATAATTGTCCATATGTGGTTACCAACCAGGATGTCTGAAGTGGAATCATGCACAATAAAAAAGCATTTCAACTTTTTTCTCTGCTCTTTCTTCTCTTCTGCTTGCCAGTTCATTGTATTTCGATTGCTCTGAGACCCACTACAAAGACTACTTTTGTTTGTATCTATGTGCACACACGGCCACCATATTGACAACAACTTCAGCAGAATCAAATCATTTTTTTCATATTTCAAGGGATTAGAATTGTTGGAGCTTTTAACTTTTGATTGATTTGATATGATTATGTAGCTGAAAAACAGAACTTAAATGATGCATTCAAATCTGAGGCTCATGGAGGGAGACAAAAATACTTGTCCAGCTTGTAGATTTGCTAAGTCTTTAGTAGAACTTAATAAGATAAAAAGCTCTTCAACATGGTTCTCCCCATATGTGTTACAAAATGGAAGTTTTTCATTGAACTTTTTGTGTACATAACAAAAGATATGAAGAGAAATAGTATGGATTTCAATCATTATATTTGATTAGTCTCCTTTTCATATTATCCAATCCTTCTAACTACTCAAACTACTTCTTCACTTCCACAATAACTTCATGTATTTAGAAACTCCCGCTCAAAATCCCGTTTGGGTTGAGAAATATGCTCATCTACTACTTCTATCTCCCAACTGGTTTAGTTATAGGAAACAACGAAAGATGAGCTTTTTCATTTAGTTCACTTTTAATAATGGCACTGAGGCAATATTAACCATCTAATTCTACACAGCCATGGCCATTACATTTACAATGTTCCTTCTGCCATGTTGAAACTTTTTTAGAGGATCATTTTGGATGAGTTTATTAGGGAGAATGTCCCGATAGCAGCAATAAAGATTAGAAATATTTGGCTCTGAGGAATAGATTCTACAGCTCAACAAGATCAATTTGACAACACACTCACCACTAAGTGGCTACGCAGAGGTTAGGTAAAAGGTCTCAGTCAATTTTACACCACTAACTTTTAGTCAGAACCTATATGATGCAAATTCAACTCTACAGTGTAGCCATTTTGGGATGAGATATCTCTGATAATATTATCTTCATTTCTTTTTCTTTTTTTCTTTTCTCTATTTCTTTTCTCTGTTTTTTTTTTTTTGGCTTTACTGATTAAGGAATAATACTGGGTTTGGAGCCTTGATTGCAGTTGAACATCTTATTTTTCTTTCTGCCTGGAGATTTATTCTTATGTTTGCCATTGCTGCAGTGCTCAGAATTTTCATTCTTATTTTTCGCAATTTATTCAGTTGCAACTGAATGAAACTATAGTAAAACTGCACGCTTTATTAATCCATGAAATGGGAAAAACCTTCACAGAAAATTCAGACATAGCTATAAAAAATGCTCTGATTTTGAAAGCTTTCAGCTTCAACAACCTTTTGCAAAACAAAAGCTAAATTGTGGGTGCATGGTAAAGAAGAATCTACATGTATTTTCTGGTTGACCAAAACAAAATGATCAAAAGAAAGAAATGAGAAAAGAAATATAAATCAGATGTGGCATACTGTGACTGGTTTTTTTTTCATACAATTGAAGCATCTACTTTTCTCCTTGGTCAATGTTTGGGCACTTTTCCCCCCTTTATGGAAAGAGAAACTTTTGTGTTTGTCAACTCCTCCTCCTCCACCCCACCCTTAAAAATGGAGAGATAATCCAGCTTGATTATAGAATTGGTTTGTGCTTAATATGTGGGCTTATTTTTTTAACAAGGGACAACATATGCTGTTGGCACTATTCTTTGTTGGACATTAAAATACTTCAATTTGAAGTTACTTCCCTTCCTTCCCCTATTTCCCCTATTTTCCCTTTTTTCTTTTTCTTGTTCTTGTTCCCTTTGCCTCATTGGGTATGAGAATTTGAGCTTAATAAGAAAAGAAGTATGCATTTAGAACCAAAAGATGGAACTTTTACAGATATTTGTAACTAATGCAACTCAAATAATCTTCTTTTTTCTGTTTCAATCTTTAAATTAGATCAGTGGAAGCATGCAACAGAGCCTAACCCCATCCACATATGGGAGGAGGTTGGGTGTGATCTCCAAAGCCAGCTAAAGGATATATTTTGTTCTAACTTCACCTTGTCTAGTTCATAAAGTGAAAGCATAATATCACTAGACAAGAAGCTGGTGCAAATCCTTGACTAGACATTTGTGAACCACAGCTTAGTACTTTGATCATGTTTCTCTTTCCAATAAATTTATCTTTTGTCCTATGCTCACGAATACCCTTTAATCATAAAATTTTGATTTCATTGGATTGATCCCTGAACTTTAGTTATATTGGAGGTGATTTATTGACTGCCACGTGTCGACATCAAAGATCATCAGTTTTCAGAATGACCAAGAGAATCAGGTAAGAAGATTCAACAAGAGCAAGTTCCTGAAGTCGAGCCGAACTACATTCTACGTACCAACCTATGTCAGGTACAAGCTGAAGTTAAAGAGTAATCGAGGGAGTACGATGGCATACATATTCTCCCGACACGACAGCTTGGTCCTAGGTTGCGGAAGCCCTGTCAAAAGTCCTATCAGAAGCTCGTCTCTATAAATAGAGAGTCTCAACCCTCATATAAGCTACGCGAAATATATTCTCTCTCGAATATAAATCAAATTGTGTACTAACTAGAGCATCAAAGTGTCATTTCTATTTTGCAGGTCCTTCCTACTAGCAGATTTGAGCTTGATCAACTTTACAATCAAACAAGTTACTTGAGGATTTATTTTTGGGCGCTAATTTTGTTCAACATCTACTTTGGCTATGTCTGAACTTTTTTTTATTTATTGATTTTGTAGCTCAATTCATATGTTTTTGTGACTAGGCTCTGATGTTTTCTTGTTAGATTTCAAGTGCTATTGTTTTTGTGACTTATTAGTTTGTTTCAACCAAATTCTTTAATCTAGTTTTAAGTCTGACATTAATTTAATACCAGATTACAAGTACAGAAGTAGAAAATAAATTATTCCCACTCGAGACAAATTAAGTGGAGAATTTTGATTGAAGAAGAAAAATAAGAATGTATACCGCTAGGGAAGGCTATGAAGAGGAAGTATAAATCATTTCATTTTCACATTTGTTTAAAGTGATAAGCTTTAAGTAAATGAGAAGTTAATTAAGCAATGGGCAGCTCCAATGGTTTTGAGTTCAGTAGAATAAAAATATTGTTAGAGAAAGATTGAGCATATGATAAAGAAGCCCTTTTAGTCTTATCAATGAACTAATTTTTTTTAATGGTTCTATATATTTAATTAGTCCAATGAATAAGACACTTTTCAAAGAGCAATAGATATATTAAGAAATTGATTATCAATAATTAACTTCTTTTTGTCTTGTCAAATTGATATGGGTTGGGTTTTGTTCTTTATTAAACTAACCTAATTGCTTAAAGAATAAAAGTTCTTAATGTTATGTGCTCATTGCAACTTAATTTAAAAAGCCTCTTTAAGGGGAAAAAACTATATTCTAATTGAAGATAGTTATTATGCACTTATTTTCTTAATTATTAGTGCTTGGAAGTTGTTCCAAATATCAAATATTTAGAGGAAAAAGAAAGGAATAAAAAGTTCCCACTTAGAAATAAAAAGAAAGAAAGAGTTACATAGTTTAATATAAGCTTTTTCTTTGGAGTCTGAAAATTTCCTTTTTTTTTAATATTTTTAATGTAAAATTGATTCTAGTGGAATCAAGTATTTTATTCAAAAGTTTCATATATTTTCTAAAGTTTCCATTTTAGTTTCTAGGAGTTTCTTTCTTAGATGGGAACCTTTTCTATATTCTCCACCATAATGCCAAATTTGAAAACTATTTTCTTAATAATGTGTTGTGCACTATTTTCCAAAAACTATTTTATATAGTTTCGGAATAAGAATACATTACGAAAAGAACAATATTTAAGTGGTTACGGGTCACATTCATTTTTATGTTTATCAGCAACAAAAATTTTATAGCTTTTTAATTTTTTGAAAAACAGAAAAAATATCTTTTTTTTTCCCCTAAATTTCTCTCTCCTACTTATAATTGAACAAAAAGCACCTAAGTATTTTTCATTAAAAAAAAAAAAAAAAAAGTTCTACTGATATCTTCAAAGATGACCTTGAGAATATATAAACTTATTCTTCCATTTGTAAAAATCACAAGTTTGTGTAGTAATTTTAGTGTACAAAAAATCACATTAACAATTACAAGTCATTCGATCATGGTCCTTAAAAATTATTTTCCTTCCACCATAAAATAGTTAGATAGAACCGTATTTAATCAAAAGTTACGTCTCTTTACGTGATCTTTGGTTCGATTTGGATGAAGCTTCTTCTATGTTTGGAAATAGCAGGTGACTCGCGTCGTTCCAACAAGCAGCGGGGAGCATTACCTCAGTATACGATCGCACGCAGTAACTCGGAGTTCTATCACACCTAAAGCCAACTTCAATTCACGGGTCTGAGAAGCGGTGGTTTACCCTGTGGCTGATGTTTTTTGACAACAAGCAAACGACTTTCTATCATAGTTACAAGGATTCCGCCTTCATTTTGTCGTGCTGCTATATGTAACGTGCAATCGTTCCGAGGCAGCAGGATGTATGGTATAGGGCTCCCTTCTTGGTAGGATTCTAGGAAAACCAAGCCTTTTGACTTACATACCAAACCCTTTACTTGTAGAATGGGTGTTTAAACCGTTTCGAAACCCTAGGTAGAAAATTCGATAATACAAGAAACTACGCATTCTATGAAACGACAAGCAAGAAAAAGATTTTGATCTCAAAATATTGGTTCTAGAGAATCATTTAAGCTCCAAAATTGCTTTCACTCTTTATGATATTGCTTGTTTTTTTTTAAAAGAAATATGCCTTATTTTTTTTGTTAGTAGGAGTAATATGTTAATGTGTGTGGACTTGTCAATTCTTTATTCTTTAAAAAACACTTATAAAGAGTATCATGCAAAGTTCGGACTTCAAACGCTTTGGAAGACAGTTTTAATTATCATTTATGTCCACATCAAATAATTTTTTATAGTCCTAAACAATGGGTCAACTCAAAAAAAATAAAAAATAAAAAACTAATTTATTCTAGGGTGCCTTTGATATACCGAATGAAATATTAATATGGATTGAAATGTCGATGATTAAATTTTTTGAAAATTTATAAAAAAGAAAAAAAATATCGATGAAGGTTGATTGTACAAGATTGGAGAGCTATTCTTCAGTAGTTTCCCGGGAGGGGATATCTCTTCCCTTGCCCTTATAGACGGTTTTTGTTCTTTGCTTTTGTCTAGTTTCTTATAAAAAAAAATACTAATAATAATTAAAAAAAACAAACAAACAAGAAAACTTTATAAAATTATTTAAATTAACAAATAAGTATTTCACCCTTTTAAAAAGTGAAAAATTATGATTAATAATGTTATGTCTATATTAATGATAATTTATTTCTTTTAATATTTTGTTGATCTTTTCACGATGATATGAAAATTTTCGATTCACTTTTTACATTGATGGATGGAAATGTTGATATGTCAAAAAAATTTAATATAATGTAGTAAGCACCGCATATTATTCTTTTTTTAAATATGTTGTGCTTGTTGCTTGGTAACAAGTAAAAAGTATTTTAAAAAAATCAAATTAGTTTAAACTCACTTTGTTAAGAAATGATTTAAAAAAAATAGAATCATTTTATAATGCAATGAAAAGGCTAAAACAAAACTGTGATTATTAAAGTCGCTTTTGAATATAATACAAACAAATAAATTCACAATTAAAATAATTATCAAGAAAATGTAACAAAAAGAAACATAAGCATTTTAATTTAAAGCACTTCTACCCCGATATTTTAAGAACAAATATATATTTTTTAAAAGTCATTTAAATTAAAAGTTACGTCCAACACACATGATCAGAATTTAACTCGATTATAAATGAGATATAAATCACTTACTTTAGAATCAAACTAATCCACGATGGGAGTGTTACTTTCTCCATAAGGATCGATACCAAGCAAAGCGGGAAAGAGAACTTTTTCCCGTGTCCTAAATGAGAATGAGCTTGCAGAGGGTTGATTCCTTTTCTAGTATCATTGTCCCACTCCCACCCCATTTTTTATTATAATTATATAATTTTTTTAAAAAGTCTAAACCTAAATATTTAGGTACAAAATTTGCAGATACTATGGTGAATGAATTATGAAACGTTATTAGAAATTTAAGAATTTTATCTTTTATATAGAGATTCTCGAAATAAATTTAACCATTTAAATGAATATTTTCTAGGGATAATTCATTAGAAATTTTCTATAAATAAATAAATGTGGGAAATTATAAATAACTAAATGGGGAATAATTCCCCACAAGAATCCCCGATTGCACAAAACTTCATAGGGATGGAAAATGAAACGAGAAGCAAGAATGGGCACGAAAAGGCCACCCTCGTCCCCATCTCACCCCATAACACTCTTAATCTACGGGTCAGCCCCTTTCAGCCATGCTTAAGCCTTATTTCAACCAGGTTAAAAACTTATCAAGACTCAACTGACTAGGTGTATTTGAGAGTGATAATGTGATTTCGGAAAAAGAGATTTAAGTGTAATTGATTTTCCAAAATCACCATTAAAGTGATACATTGAAAATCAATTTAAAGTCATTTTAAACTTTCCTAAAAATTATGGAAAATTAATTTCATAATTTGCCAAACACGATCAAAGAAAAAAGAAGTGATTTTGACAATAACCAAAATTACTCCCAAACACACCCTAATTACTCCTCATTACGAGGCAGATAATATAGCAATGCACAACAGTTTATTTCCTGATTATCATCAACAGCTGAATCAGATATGATTGGAATGCAAACTACCTTTATTTAAGGGTCTTGCCAAAATCTGCCTCCTTCCATAAACTTCAACTCTGTATTTCAACTAGAGAATCCCATGGCATTATCGACGACAAAGACACAGGATAACAAAGTTTTTTTAAGTTTACAGTACTACAACATCGTAAAAAAATTACCTTTATCCACGTCCAAGAAGCGTTGAGGCCAAAGTGAACTACAAGAAAAAGTATAATGCAAATTGCAATGACTATAGTACAGCCATATCACACTTTCTAAATAGAGGATTTCATTTTTGCAAGTTCTCAAATTATTTTCTAAGATGAAAGGGTGTGTGTTATTGTACTGCCACCTGGTCATGGTAAAGAATTAAGAAGCCTCAAATTATTTGGAATTACACAAAAAGAAAGCCTAAAAAGATCCGTATCTTCCAACAGAAGACTTGCCTGTGTCTCTAATTGACACGGAAAAAACTTGGATTCCCATCGTTGCTGAAGCAACAACTGCAAATAAGACAGCTTTAAATGAATGAAAACTGCAGCGTCTTTTGAAAATTCTCTCTTTAAAAGCCAAGGTTTATTCTGGAAAAGAAGATGGTTGCAATCAGTGATGGTGATCATCATCTCCAAAACCATCTGGTGATCCTCCAGGTCCCACCACTTCCAGCTGCCAACACAGTTTAAAATTAGGAAATTTTGGCACTTCTAGAAGTAATTCAGACACGAATGGCTTCATCCACTCGAGAAGTGGGATAATTAGAGAGAGAGAGAGAGAGAGAGAGAACAGTAGAACTCAATGGGGGACTCCATGTAGAATGCAATTGAGAGGGGAAGGGAAGCAGTGATACACAAAATAATAGGACAGCAGTTAATAGAAGTAATCCTCATTTGAAAAAAATAAAAATAAATAAATGATTATAGAAGCAATTCTTGTTGGAAGTGGCAAAAGAATCGAGGTTTAGCTAAAAAATTGGAGTTTGTTTCCTCCTCTTGGAGCACAAGTTGCACAACTTATAATAACTTTTGTAATCATAATTTATTTTGAACCAGGACCAATTAGAACGGTTATTTAATCTTTGGTTAAGTTTTGAGGGTTTGTTCCTCCCTTTTTCTGTATATTTTATTCTATCAATCAAATTTAGTTCTATTTTTCAAAAAATATTATATCTGAATTGAACTCATTTCCAGCATTCAATATCAATCATCATGGGAACATACATAATAATTAATAATAAATTCTCACCGCAAAATACTGTGTGCACACAGGACATTCATGTGGCTCGCCTTTCTTCAGTCGAAACCAGACAACATCATGCTCATCCTCTACGATTTTAAAGGAAGCATCAAAAGTGAGGTGGAAAGTTTCATGTGCAATTGAAGAACGTTGCACAAAAATGATGAAAAGTAGGGATAAAGAGAGATTGCAAGTACTCACCGCCTTCACCTCCAGGGCATCCAACTAATCTTTCGTCATAATATGACTTAACAACAGCAGGAGCTTCCTAAAGAAATAAAAAGCATAAGATTTATCCCAGAGATAATTCATGCAAGTAAACTTACTCTTTCATGCACATCCGCTCACAGTATTTCAATATACTTAAACAGCAAAGCAAGTTACAGACTTTATTGAAGCAAAGTGAACCAGCGAGAAGTAAGCAATTGATCGCAAAATCAATGACCATTACCACATAAAAGTATTAGAATTCAAAGTAATTGAATGCAAAATAAAACACACCCAGCTACAGACAAACATAAATCACAAACTTAATAAAATGGGGACAACTGCAGTGAAAATCCTCACTCAGGTGGCAGCAAGGGAAGAAAATAGCAAGTTACAGACTTTACTATTTAAATTGGCCCAACCAGTTGGCCAAATCATGATGGTTCCTTTCTCCCGAATTTCTACAAAATGTATTATAGAGCCAACTTCGAAAAAAAATGCAAGGTGCTCCCTGGGTCAGTTTTCCCTAAAAGGGTCAATACAAATAATGTTGCTCAAAGAACTCTTTCCTCTAAATTTCGCCTAAAACATCTATTTTATATATACAGAATGAAGAATCTGTAAGCCATTTCTCTGAGTGGTTTCGGTAAGTTCTTCTAACTCTTCAACTTTTAGTTTAATTCGGTTTAATAATTTAAGGATTTTATTTCAAATGTTGACAGGTCAAATATTAAAGATAGGAAAGAAACCTATGGACCAATGGTATTTTCCCATTTTTCTGGAAGCTGTGGTAGGAGATAAAACTAGGAGAGAAGAAATAGAGCTTCCGAAGTCGGAGTCTTGTATAATAAGATACATGGGGTGATATTTGTGGCTTCTTCCTGAGCCTCTCACGATAATCAATATTGAAACTACCCCTAATCCTCAATCATGAAAAAAGGGGGAGCCTCTTAGAAACTCCTGTATATTACTTTTATCAATAAAATTTGTTTCTAATCAGGAAAAAGAATTAAGAAAGACAATTAAAAGAAAGTAGATCATCTAGTATACAAAGAACTAAAACGCAATCCCAATTCCTCCTCAACTAATGAAGCCACACTTTGGTATATTCTTAGACACACATCAGGTGGAAAATAAGACTACAATCCAAAAAAAAAATCAACCTACATTTATATCTTAAAATTGACGTTATTTATTTCTCACAAAATCCCAACAAAGAGTCGATATGTCCAAATTAAAGAGGAGCATACATACCTTTTTGAGTAACCCAAAAGCCCTCAAACTTCAATGGTGATTGGGGACATAAATTACGTGAAAATAACACACACACACTCACTCACAACATAGAAAAGTATAATTCACCATTTCATGTGCTATATTTATAACAAATAAAACATCAATATGAATTATGGAGAAAGAAAGCAAACGGGCCTCCTTGAGCGGCATAAGACAACCCAAACTGTGCAAAGATAAAATTAAATGCAAACTATACCAACCTTGGTGCCAAAAGGACCAACGGGATGGTCTATATCAAGGATGTCTCTTCCCTGCGAACATAAAATCAATTGACATGAGAGTCGCCTTCAGAATGAGAAATACATTAGATGCCAAACAACTAAAATATTTACATAAACTAAATTCAGTTCAATATGAGAATGCATCAGAAAACTTAAGCAGCCCACTGAATATGACACATGTTAACTGAATTGTATTGTTCCAGAACCTTCAACTTACCAGACCCAGTAGAATGTTGGCTCAGCTTGTACGTTGAAATGATTTAATCATTCATTCTGTTGTACCTTTTAGCATACGTTTGTATATTTTTTGTAGGATTCTTCTTTTATTCGTTAATTATTACACCTATCAATACCTCTATAAAACCTGTCTATATATTTGAATAGAAAAGAGCTTACGTCATCCGGCCTCATACAGAAAATTCTCTTTCCCGCGAAATACCCTAGATCGTGTCTTAAACCAAATTGCGGAACAGCAAAAATCATTTGTTTCATAAATGACCGTCCACAAATATAAATTAAGAATATATACATAGAAGTTCGACATTGATCTCTCCATGAAAACGTAATTGATGTAAACCATTAGATTTTTTTTTCTCAACATCAAATCGGAAAATTGAAAGCACGCAAAGAAATACAAGTAATATCACCTCAAGCGCAGCTTCAAGCTCTTCGCGCTCGTGTCCGGTTGCAATTGGCATGACATCCCCAACCTTCTTCTTCAGACCAGCACCAGCTACGTTTACAATAAAACGAAATCAACGATCAAGAGAGACCAATTCCACGTTCACACTCATATATTATAGATTCATTCATACATACAGTGAGAGACTGTAAATTAATGTATTAGTTATGAGTATGAAAATCGATAGGGAACAGTAGGATCTACCAGCCTCAGCGCCATAATGGCGAGCGAAGAGCGATACGGAAGGTGAAGAAGAAACATGAGATGAAGCGGGACGTCGTGCGGCTCTGGAAATGGATCCCGATGGAGGAGACGGTGCCGTGGATGATGAAGTTCGAGGTTTTAGGGATTTGAGGTGCGAAGAGAGCAATCTCCTCCACATCGTTGGTGATTTTCCGGCGAGGATCTCAGGTCACAGCCTTTCGACGGCGAAATTATTCGCTCTTTCACGCTCTTTCTCCTTCACCCTCTCTACGTTTGGGAAATGGAGCAATAAGGAAAAAGTCAAGACTCAAGAGGAGGTTCCTCCGGCTGAGGGTGGTAGCACCGCACGAGGGCGTTGCGTGACACGTGCCGCAGGTCTTTTTTTCTTTTTCTTTTTTTAATTAAAGGTCATTAATTAAAAAAAATGGTATTAAGAGTTTAGGTTAAATAAAAGAGAGTTTAACAGCAGACATTGTAAGTTTATGGGTTTAGAATATAAAATGTCATTTAAGTTTATTTTATTTTATTGATCGAACAAATTCTCAAAATATTTAATTTTGTCTCTAAGATTTTAAAAAATAATTAGTTTGATCTTTTATATTATTTTTACTTTTAATTAGCTTGAAATATGACTTTTAAGTATTAATTTTTTTTTTACAATAAGTGGGGTGGAGGATTCGAACTCACATGGTTAGAGATAGATACAATAGAGCTAAGCTAAATTCATGTTGGCAATTTTAAGTATTAATATTAACATGTCAACGTAGATGTGTATTGGAGTCCGAGTCTAAAATATGATAGTTCATGGACTAAAAATATTTTCTTTTTTTTTAAAACAAACGGAAAATGAAATAACCTTAAAATCTTAAAATTTTAAAAACGTTTAAAACTAATTATAATATTATATTGAGCTTGATTAAAAAATAGCCAAAACAAAACCTTTGTCCAATTGAGTCTTAATACTACCATTTTCGTTAAAACAAAAAGTCAAGACCTTTTTGCAAATCATGCTAATTTTCCAATTAGTTCCCTCTCTTAAAATTTCTCTTTTTATTTAAGTCTAAAAAAAACTACTTTTTTTTTTATCCAACTATTTTTTCTCTTATACTTTTGATTTAGATCATTTTGGTAAATGTATTTTAACTTTTTGTTTATTTTATTCCTTTTATTTTCAAAAGTTCATTTGGTACAAACGAGTAAAGTATCATTTAATGAATAATGAGTGAAATCCTTTAATACAAATTGATAACTACAATTCAAAAAGTTCAATAAATTATGTGTCATACTAAAAACCTAAAATTATGATGGAAAGAAATGAGATAAAAAATGAAATGATTAAATTAATAACTTTTTAAAAATACAATAACCAAAATAAACGTTTCAAAATATAGGAATTAAAATAAACAAAATCAAAAATACATGGATAAAAAAAAACGTTTTGAAATAAATGTTTTTAAAGTACAAAGATAAAATAAACCAAAACAAAATAAGATAGATCAAAATAATATTTATATAAATGGATAGACCAATAATTATATATATTTTATTTCTATTTGACCAACATTCAAAGCTCACAGGTCACAAACAAAGGTCGAGGAAAATATTTAAGCAAGGTGAAATTAAACACTTGACTCGTTCAACCTTATCAACTTTTGTATAGCTCAATAAGTTAAGGTATCTATTTGGCTAACCAATCGTGAATTAAAATCTCTACCCTGAACGGTTGTGCTAAAAAAAAATAAAAAACTTGGGATGACCTATATCCAACATACATATATATTCTTTTTCTGAGCCCTAACCACTAAAATTTGACCCTTTTTGAGTCCTAACCACTAGATTTCTTGTATTACCCATCAAAATTCAGATGGAACTTCCTATAAGCTGCTACTACTCTTTGCAACTTCACATTTATTTTCCAAGACCATCACAAGGGGATACATACATACATTCATGATCTTTGTATCACTGTTTGGTCAATCTAAACTTTTAAAATTTGCCAACGCCTTGCTGAGGGTAAACCTGCAAAAGGAAAACAAACATGATTCTGAAGGATCATTCAATGGAGTGACAGTGAATTTTGTGGCTACTCTTAAAATTTTTTGGAAGAGTAGGAAGAATTATTTTATACCTGGCCATGTCTATCGTCGCTTAAGCTTATACTTCTAACCTTCAACTCCCCTCTATTGGTCGTCAACTCATCTAGTATTTCAGCATCACATATTTCAACTTCATCTTCGTCATTATCTATTTGAATGGTATCCTTTTCCTAACAAATAAAAAAAAAAGTGGCTGGCGTTTTATGTAGAATGCTGGAAGTTTTAGAGACTATGATACAAAGGATATGGATATTTAAATATTGTTAGACAACGGACCATCCACATTTCCACCATGGTATGTTATTGTCCACTTTGGACATAAGTACCCATGGCTTTGCTTTTGGTTTCACCCAAAAAGTCATTATACCAATAGAATTGTTGTCCTTCATTTATATACTTATGATCTTATATCTAGCAAATGTGAGACTTTGATTGTATTTTTGGCGAGTACCTTGAGAGAGAGGCTAAGCGAGAGTACCGGGGTACCGGTTATTTCTTCGTACTCAGCTGCATCAAGCTCCTGCAAATGATGAGGTTGGAGTAGCTTGGGAAGGATGTGATGTCTTATGCTGATGAGAAGGAAGAAAGGCAAAGGAAACAAGACTCCAGCTATGGGGATCCATGTCACTCCAAAACAAATGAGGAAGTATACAAATTGAAATAGAGTGAATGCGGCTATGTATTTGAATGGCACAGACTCCAAAAAGGAAGCATGAAAGCCTTCTAGGACCCTGGCAAGAGAGAAAAATATAGACGACCACAACAAAAGTTAGTCGTTAAAGAAAATTCAATACCCACCAACTCAAGAAAGATCAATACTAGGTAACAGTATGTGACTCAATCAAGAAGCCATAAAAGAAGTTGGAAGAGTAATTGATCAGCAACTCATAAGTGAAAAATATGTGTCAATTGCCTCTCATAATTCTTAAGTGGGTGCGAAAAAGCTTACTTGTACCGTCGACTCGGCATTATGAAGAGAAGTAAAATCCTTTCCCAGAATTGGTTTCCGGGCAGACTGTCAATGGCCATGTACGCAAAGTATCCCCAGAGAACTGACGTTGGTATTTTCTTTATTGCTGGTAAAGCAAAGACTGATGCTGCCACTAGAAGTGATTGCAGCAGATTGCTCAATCTTTGCTCGTTTACTCGGACAGGAAGATAAGCGTCAATATGCTTCTCCGGATCAAACATATCCTTTGCGTTGTCATGCTTACTTTCTCCTTTCATGACAGCCTCCTTCAAATCTTCCAGCTCTTTAACTACTGATGTCGTCTGCTCAATACCATAAAGATCAAATAGTTATTTGCTAACTTTTATTTTCTAGCAACTACCAAGTATTTGATCAATCAACTACTTCCAGTGTCAGTTATAGCAAGTTGTAGTGCAATTTCAAATTTTGACAACTAGAGGACATACAACTGGGCTGCTGTCCATTTCTAAGAACACAGCTTGCATTTGGCCGTAGATTTCAGAATCGCTAGCTTTCATTTTTATGCTTTCCTTTGCACTTTCCACCATCTTCCTTCGTATCAACTGCAATCCATGATCAGTAAAATTAAATATCTGATATGGCTAAACATCTCTACGGTACAGTAATTGCTACATTTCACTTCTTGGTGAAGACTTACACGCCTCCTGAGTGTTGCAAGGCACTTGGTGTGCATAGGGGACTGTGGCAAGACCCCATTTGAAGGAGGAAGCCCGATTAACCCACAAAGCAAAGTCTGAAATTAATTTTCCATCACATAGAATTAGTCTTTCTGGGAACTGGATAAGAGTGACTTACTAAAAACACCATGTAGACGTTACCATAAATCCCAGTAACAAAATGTCATAGTGGTATGCGGAAGGGTTCTTGAGATTAAACTCCTTTTGTTGTGCCATCTGGGAAGCAACGCTATGATCAAAAAAATAAAGTCCCGCAATCATCACAGCAGGAATAAAGGCAGCAAAAATGTATACAGGAGGTATCTTCCCCATGTCCTGCAACAAACATGTACTTTTCTATTAGCTTTCACTAAGGAAACGGGATGAGTTCAAATAAAAGTACCTTTTATGGCTTACTTTGAAGATAAACCGCACTACAAGGGCTCGGACTCTAATACTGAGGGGAAGAGGATTTACCTTTACAACGGTCCAATGGTGCAGGGAAGTAGATTGCCATGCCAGAGGACTATGGAATCTTCTAGGAACTCCAGAGGGAACTTTGCTTGGTACACTAAACGATAGTGCAGTCCATACTAGAACCATTAGAGGTACTCCATAGTCTGCAATGAAAGTCCTTAGCCAGCCTAGGGGACGAAGTGAAAAAGTTTTAAAATCCATGGCTTGGCCATTCTCGTAAGTAATTTCACAAGAGAACAAATCTCTGCTCCATTGACAAACCTGTGCCATACAACCATGATCTTGCTTTTCTGCTCTTCAAAGCAGTATAGAGAAGGCCAAAAGTAAATATGATTCCCAGTAATCCATTCGTGTAAAGCCAATGAAATTGATACTGCTCTAAACTTGGATTCTCGGCCTTTGGAACTTTAAATTCGCTCACCACTCCCTGAATGATTCAAAATTGAGCCATTGGTAAAAAAAAAAGGAAAAAAGGCAATATTATTCATTCAAGTTTCAAATCGTAAACTGTTATCTCCTTGGATCATTGTGGAAAATAAATTTACACCAACAAAGAGAATTGACAGCTTCTGTACTACCTCTTGAGTCACCAAAAGGAAATTCATTCCTACCTTAATAGCTTCTTGAATGAACAAAACAGAGATCAACATGCCAAAAAGTTCCCCTGCAATCCTTGTAAATCTGTTGATTAGACGGGACGCATTGAATATGGCAAGTAGGAATAGCAAGAGGGCTGTCCAGACACAAACCCTGTAAAACAAAAGTCAATATTGTGCCATACCGAAGCCTTTACATATGTAGTTAAGATTGATAGCTCACCATCCTGCCCAAGCCAAGAAGAGGTCTCTCCCTATGTCTTTCCTATCCTTGCAAAAATTGTACAAATATGTATACATAATAATTGTAGGTTCTGCAACCCCTACAACTAGGAGAGGTTGCCCACCAAGAATTGAATGAAGGATGCCACAAATGGCTGTGGAAGCCAAAGTTTCTACCGTGCTCAAGCTTCCATCTATGGAATATAAATTAATATACTGAAGTAAGTTGGGCAGTCCACAATCCACATGGAAGCTAGTAAAGAGAAAATTTAGGGAGTATAATTATTCTCTATTCTCATGAAAATAGTCAATGGCTCTACTGTGGACCTGATTTTAATTTTATTTTACTTGTAAATGTAATAGAAAAACGGGAATTTTTTTTTTAATTTTGCAAATGACTAATATTTTTATGAATATAATTGATGTGTGATTCACAATATTAAATCTTAAAATTGTAAAACCATATTTGGTTTTAAATGTTTCTACATCCAGTTGACTTGTCCAAATTATTACTTCTTTCTTTTCCTTCACGCAAAATTATATATATGCGTGCGCTGGTATATATACTAATAAGCTAACAGATTAAATCAATCATAATAAAACAATTTTAAGATACTCCATTCCAATATTTTGCATAATGAAGCGGAAACCTCTATTTTTCACCAATATTATCTAGAAAAAATAAAATGTTTAGATAATGTAAAACTGCTTACAAAATAGGATTCAAAATACGATGATCACAAAGCAAAGGATTGCAGACAAGCCAATCTTTTCCCAATTTTACTTCTGAGTTTACGCATAAGATATGAATTCTGCAAGCTTCAAACAGTGTAGAAAAATTAAGCAAAACTGACCAACCTGTATCTCGGCTAAGTTGCTCACCGAAAGCAATGACAGGAAGTGCAGAAGCGAAAAAAATGTAGGCAGTCGGGGCCAAAATTCTGTCAACCCATCAAAAGAAAACTGGAAATTAATCAAAAGCAGCATCAAACTTAAAGCTGAGCAGAGCTAAGAAAATAATATAATAAATAAAAAGTCTACACATAAATTACCCGATTCCTGAAAGTCGACCATCAACCCAATCTTGCTTATAACAGGCTGCTCTTCCTCTGATATCATCCACAATACCCCTAAATGGAGCCCTGAGATTCCCCATTTCTGTATAGAAGAAGTAAAAGTATGCTTAAAAAAACAAAGAACTGAACGTTTTCTGCACGAGGAAGACAGGAAAAGAGAGAGCAGTTTCAAATAGAAGCATAAGAATAACAGATATAACTTATAAGGAGGTCGGATTGCATTTAGTACTGAACTCCATAATTAATGGAGAGAAGTATGAAATTCTTCTCATACTTCGAAAGCAGTCCGGCATGGACAACAACTTCTTGTTTTGATTTTTTTTTCTTTCTTTTCTCTGATTATTTTGCAGAAAGGACAAGAAAAAGAAATTAAAAAATAGAGTGAAGCATCATAGCGGAATCGAACGCTTGAATTTCCATTGCCTGCTCATTAATCCCAAGCGACTCTACGGCCAAAACAGGGGAAAATTATCCAATTAACCACTATTTCACATCTTCACAACAATCAGATTCATCATAACGAAGATAATCACAAACTTCGCTCATATATACAATATAGTTAGCTAGTTCATGCAAAAACATCAATAGTATATATATGTATAATACTGCGAAACTGAATCTTGATAAAGGAAACGAATACAGGAGCGAGTTGGAAAAGGGCGGCGGATCATCGGAGAAGATGACCGGAGAACAATGTCGGAAAACTTGCCGGAGATTGTGCGAGCTTTCCCGTATGACGAGCGTAATCGGAGTTGTTCACTTGGCGGCTTGTGGTGGAGGACTTTGGAGGCAAATTCCTGCGTCTTTAAAAAGACCCGCCAGAGCTCAAAGTGGGGTCCGAACCCGAATAAGGAGTTTTGATCCTCTACGGCTCAACAAAATATGGTAACCGTACACCCGCACAGCTGGTCAATTACTTGCTGCTGCTTGTTCTCCATGAGAACTTTGAAGATAGTGATTTGTAACGTTTCTTTTCAGAATATTAAAATTCAAGCAAATGGAGAAAAATAGTTTGAATTTGAGCCGCTATTTATTATCATTTCAAAAATTGATGGTTTGATTATTATCTTCACAATTATGATCTTCGTGGAGTGGTCGAAAATGTCTTCCTCATCCTTGATTTAGGAGGTTGTGATTAGGAATGGTTTGAAAAATTTTCTCCTGTAAGTTTTTTTTAGTTTTTAATTAAATAAGAAATACATATTTTTAAATTGAAATTTAGAGCAAATTAGTTGGTTAAATTGTTTTTATTTTCAATAACTAACAGTTAAGTTGGACTTAATGATTATTAGATATCATGTAATGGTATTTCAAACTACTTGAACCAGAACTTTCAAGCTAATAAGTTATATAGCATATTCAATCAAAATTTATTATATATATATATATATATTTGTAAGTTTAGAAATCAATATTATACTAGAGAGAAAATGAAGGACTTTCTACCTTAATACAATAATATATTTTCAGACTCTCGAAATGGTGAAAACAATGTTGCTTTCTTATTTCAACATACAAGGCAATAGCCTAAATTAGAGTTTTACAAATTTCAAACTAAAAACCGTTAAAGAATAATTAAAAACAATTATATATGGTACGGAAGTAAGAATCTTATTGGAGAGAATTTCAAGACCACGTGATGAGATTACAAGTTTATTGTGGGAGAGTTGAGCTACGTGCTTCACAGAGAGTCTTTGATTTATCTTTGTCATGAATCAAACAGTGTGTTTGAGATTATATCGATCCTTTACAAATTCAATGTTAATTAAATTACCTCCAAACTAATAGATATCGACATATACATAAATTTACTCTTTTATATGCATTCTTATCTTCTCACTTTCACACGTCCTTATTAGAACACCAGCACCACAAATACTCTATTTTAAGAACTTTCAAACTTTTTTTCCTCTCCTTCCCACCCTTATTTATTAGAAATCATACCATTTGAGCTCTATATAAGAAGCCCACATAAAATTGAATCACTTGCCCTTAAAAGACTTGGGAATGTGAATAGTCCAAAAAGCAGAAGCAATTATTTGGAACCTTCTCTTTCCCTTGTTGGTGCCTGGTTATTTGTGGCTGCAAACACCTAATTTTCTCAAAAGGAGATGAGGTTTTTTTGGGTAACATTTATCCATAAAATTGGTTTATTCCTTTGCATGCACATGAAAATTAGGTTAATTTTCTCTCTTCCCCTCTCCTTATATAATAGGGAAAAATCATATTGTTAAGGTTACATTATGAAATTTGATTTTCATACCTTAAAAGATTTCTATTATGTTTCTAAACACTAATTTGAATTACATTTATATACTACTATAAATTTGGTCTTTGTTGATGCGTCACTTTTTATTTAATTGATGCAGTGAAAGAAAATGTCAATAAAAGTTCAATTTTCTCCTTAAAATAAGTTATTTTTAAAAAAATATACATATATTGATAGCTATAAAACCTCAACTTACGTCTATATTAAAGTTGATGCAATAAACCGTCAAGTTTTAGACTTTTGTTAACGTCCATTTCGTTATTGTCTGTCAATATTTCAATTGTTATTGACAGTTAAAATGGCAGAGACAACTAAAATATATCATTTTTTGTGGAAATTTTTTTAAATTTCTATGGCTCCAAATTACCCTATTCATCTTCTTCCTCTCCTCTTCCCACACACATCTTTCATCTTCCTCCGGTCTATTTTAAGGTTTTCGGCTTGCAATAGTTATATATTATTATTAACATTAAAGAAATGAATGAAAAATTGGGGTTGATGTGACAAATAGTTTTTTTATATATATATACAACATATAAGGATGGGAGATCGAACTCACAACCTCTTGGTTGGAGACATATGTCGATTACCGTTGATAGCTATATGCTCGCTTTGACAGATGTGACAAATAGTTAGATAGACCACAAATTTAAATTTAATTGAATTCTCATATAATTTGCTCTGAACTTGTGTAGAGATAGAAGAAAAGTCGTTACGACAAGGTGCAAACCAAAATTTAAAGATTGAGGAGTTACCTACCTGGAGCTTATGGCAATTCGTGAAGGTCTAGAAGCAATTGCGAACGAGGGTACAAATTCGATTCATCTGGAATCGGATTCTATGGAGGCTGTACAACTTCTTCAACGATGATTTCACGGAGATCTCATGGATTCTTGAGGATATGATGGCCATTGCAAATGACTCAACACATAAGGATATTAGATTTTTTTTTATTTTTTTTTGGAGAAAAAGTAAAATTTAAAAACTAAAATAGAAGATAAAAAGAATGACATTAAATATTTTCTGGAGGTGCCAACTATTACTAGATTGACAGCTCAAAAGTCAAAAGACAGCATTATTATTTACTTTTATGAGACTAGGAAATGGGGATGGGAGAATTATGGAACTAGGGTTGGAAATTTTGCTATTGCTTTCTAATATGAACAAAGTTTACATATTACTACTATTTCTTTTTGGTCACATCAATAATAATAATAATAATGTTGAATAATATAGAACCATAGGCTAAAATATATCAATCAAAGTTGAATATTCTTCCCACGTGCATGTATAACTAAGCTAGTAAGACAATAACTTAGAGGAACATGATTTTATGTAGGAATATTCCAGAGAGAGGGAAATAGCTCGTATGTTAGGAAGGAGAGAAAGTGACTACAGTTGAATTGACCAATTTCCAAATGTTTTTAACAATGTTTCGTGTGATTTTTTTTCTTGTTTCGTAAAAATGTTTTTGAAATTTTATTTATTTATTTATTTATTTTGTCGTACTCCATTCTGAGTAGTTTTTTAAGAATCATTAAATTCGTTATTTTATAGAAAACATAAACTTTTTAAATAAATAAACAGTAACATCGTACTTTAGAAGAATTTTGATCCATTTTGAGAACTAATTCGGCAAATCAAATCGTTTCTGAAAACTGTTGTAAAGAAACTTCCATTAACCTCAAGAAAGTGACTTCTCACGAGTCTCGACGGAATTGCCAAACTTTTATTTCATATTTCTAATTATTTTTTAATAAGATTTGTACTTAACTATTTTACCTAACAAATAAATTAAATAAACCAAATTATACCACAACCACAATTTATAATATTATTCGATGAACAACAAAAATGTAGTAACATATTTCAACTAAAATATTATTATTTCATTTGTTAACATATATGTTATATATTTAGTATAATAATTATTTTACAATATTATATAATTTATAATCCTGCATTTTTAAAAGTTTCAAATTTAAAATCTAGAAACATAAAAATATTATTTTCATTATTTGAATCATAGAATCCAAATAACATTTTTCAAAAATAAAATTACCAAACAAATATGCACTAAATCTATTTCATCCTGAAAGGTCAACATCATGCACTTTTTTATAACACCAAAACTCAAACTCCATCTCAGATGACTGAGGATTTCTATGGTGCACATGAAAATGATAACTTTCAGCTACATGTTCCAAACTAAGAGGCATCACAAAGTTCTATAAGCAAAATTTTGAGAAAGGGCTTACAGCACTGCAGTACCATCAAGAAGAGAGGTGTTAAGGCCAAAGTGGGTTATGAAAAAAAAATTACAAAATGAAATCACAAGTATGCAAAATTTCAGATTTGCAGTAAATGGATTCATTTTCAGTAAGTTCTCGAAATGATATTATGAGATCAATGGGTTTTGTACTGTAAGGTTATGGATAAGAATTGAGAAAAGCCTCCAATTATTTGGAATTGCATAAAAGAAGACCTAAAAAGATCCGTACTTCTAACAGATGACTTGCCAGTGTCTAACTGACTCGGAAAAAACTCAGATTCCTGTTGTTGCTGAAGGAACAACTGCAAAGACTAAGGACCAGTAGAAAACAAACAAAACACACCTTTAAATAATCACTGCGGCATATTGTGAAAATCTGTCTCTTCTAAAAGCCAAGGTTTATTCTGGAAAAGGAGATGGTTGCAATCAATGGTGATGATCCTCGTCTCCAAAACCATCGGGCGATCCTCCAGGTCCCACCACTTCCAGCTGCCAACACAAATTACAATCAGGAAAATTCTGCAAAGTAATTTTAGACACTATATTGCCTATAAAATGAGAAGGTAGGATAACATGGAATAGAGAGAGAAAGAGTAACTCTAAGTCTAAGCTCATTGGGATTCCATGTAATACTAATTTAAACCAAAATAATGCAATAGATAGATCTACCACGAGCCTTGCATATGTAACAAGTAAGAGAGGAAGGGAAAGCATGCACAGACTAAGTGGACGGCAGTTAATAGAAGCAGCTTCGTATGAACTTTTCAGTCCCTATATTGCCTATTCTGTTATACACGGAGAATACTTAGCTATTGTAAGGCCAAATTATAGTAGGGTTTTCGAACGAAACACATTTCTTCTAAGTATTTTTAAAAAGATCATTAATTAATCTATTTCCCTAAAATCATGCTTTCAATCAAAGAAATTTTAGCCATGTAGCCAAAGGTCATAAGAGAAATTGAAGGTATTTGCAAAGCAAAATTAGTTCAAAACACTTTCCTACTATCACAGGAGTTATAGTATTGTATTTATAGTATTTTTTTCACTATTGTGTGTCCTTCCCTTCTAATGTGAGAGCTACTCTCAACATGCTGGTTGGAGGATGCCACTTTTTGACAATCGTGAAAATTTTGTGGAGTAGAATATGTGCTTTCTGGTGGGAGTTTTTGTTCGAATGGAAACATAAGAGTTTTTCAAGGTTAAGCTAAAAAGTGGCAAGAAATTTGAGTTCCGGTGGTGTCAGTTTCCTCCTCTTTAAGCTCTTTTTCAAGTTCTTTTTTGTAATCATGATCAAGTGAAAAGGTTTTTTTTTATTCAATCAATGAAATTTAGTTTCAACTTGAAAGGATAGATTATATGATATCTGAATTAACCTCGCTTCCATCATTCTTTTTCAAATTTAGTTTCAGCTTCCAGCATTCCATATCATGGCAACACAACATAATAATTTATAGTAATTTCTCACCACAAAATATTGTGAGCACACAGGACATTCATGTGGCACGCCTTTCTTCAACCGGAACCAAACAACATCATGCTCATCCTCTACAATTTAAAAGAAGCAACAGAGTAAGATGTGGAAATTCTCACGTGTAATTGAAGAACGCAAAATTTACTTATGTAGAATTTTGTCAGACTTGCATGAAAATGATGAAACCCATTGGAAAAAGAGAGATTGCAAATACCCACCGTCTTCACCTCCAGGGCATCCAACTACTCTTTCGTCATAATATGACTTAATAACAGCAGGAGCTTCCTAAAGAAATAAAAAAGTATAAGCTTCCTCCAACAAATAAATCATGCGAGAAAATGCCTTCTTCCATTCACATACTCTTAACACAGTATTTTTATGTGCTAAGCACAGACACATTAAGAGGAAATAAAATAACACTTCATTTGAGCAAAGTGAAGCCTTTGCTGATTGCACAACTGATCAGAAAATCAAAAACCACATAAAAGTGAATGGTTCTTGGATAAGAACAAAAAACTAAATATTCAAAGTCACGGATACAAAATAAACATTAAGTTTTTTTTTTTTTTATAACTGGGAGTTGGANGCAATTTGAGGTTTAACATGTATGTAGTGGACTTGTTCTCCGATCGTAGCATTTTTCTTGGATCCCTAAGGAAATTCCTATCTCTATCTTCCTGTTCACTGACGTAGGTTGATTCTTGGATCTCTTGCCCGAATATGATCACATCATCTTCTCCTTCTTGAAAAGAATTCGTCCTCGAATCAAATTTGTAAGCTACACATAAGGGAAGTAAGTTAGTAACTATACGCGACAACCCAAGTGTATTGAGTTTCTCGAGCCACAAGCCACTTGAATCCAATCGTATAGTTGGTTCAATCCAAAAGGCCAAGGTTAGAGGGATTATCTTTGCAGTCGTTACCTTGAGCAGACAGATGACTCATTATGCTCGAGGTCGGAAACACTCTACGAGTTTGATGACCAATCAAACAATCATGCTCCGAGGAGTTCAAACACGAAGGCCTAAGTTCAACCACACAAAGGCATTCGAGATTTGAGGGGGGTTTTGCACGAAGCAATTGAGAGAAACACTCACTCTATTTTATTCAGTTCAAAAAGTCTAAGGTGTAAGGTGTGTCTTACAATTGAGGGGTACAAGCCTATTTATAGGCCAAGGCCTTTGGCCTTTTAAGGAAAATAACAAAATTAAAATTGATAAATTCCTAAGATGTCTAAAACTTGCCTAAAGATGAAATTTAAATTTGATAAATAAAAGAATAAATCAAAAGTAAATCCTAAATCAAATCTCCCAACAATAAACCAAAATCTTAAGGAAAGACATTCCTTATTTGGGAGGAATGGGCGGCAAGGTATGGCTGGCGCGCACGGGGGAAGGGCTGGCATGGATGGTGTCACAACCATACTAGTAGAGAGTAGGTTGTGACACCCACGTAGTGGACAAGTGGTGGCGACATGCATATGTCGCCCGTCGGACCATGTTGAGGGCCGAGAGAGAAGTGTCGTGATGCGACCAAGGAGGATGGTGCATCACCTATCACACCCCATGGATGTACTCAAGAATGCCTAGAGAAGGCATATGCAGAATGCAAGGCGAAGGCGATGTCAGTGGTATCGGTGACAAGCTCAGCGGGGGCCAGTTGGGGCCTCGGGCCATGACCCTAGAAGTAAGGGTTCCGTCGAGAGTTTGGACGAGCGGCTTTAGAGTTAGAT